AGCTCGGAGCGGACGCAGTCCCGACCTGCTCAGTACCAACGAGGTCGACAGCAGCAGCAGAGGCGACAGAGGGGAGAAGGGGGGAAGGGGAACACCCCTCGAAGAACAGGGTGCGGGGGTCGCCACGAGAGGCACCTACAGCTACAATACTCTTCTCAGCTGCAAGCAGTTCCTTCTCGAGCAGATCAACGGTGAGCTCAGTGGGGCAGCGAGCTAGGAAGTGGTCCCTGACTGCACGCAGAGTGTCAGGGAGGCGGGTGACTAGGTGGTAGAGAGTGAGCTAGAGCGGGGGGGGGTGGGTGGCAAGAAACTCAGCGGGCATAGCAGCACGGAAGCGGGCCTCACTAGTGCGGAGGTGCGTGATGAGGTCAGCGACTGTGTGGAAAGAGGACAGGTCGGGGAACAGGTAGGGGAGTGAGAGACGGCCTAGCGCAGCAGAGGCAGGTGAGGAGTAGCGTGCAACTACAGCAGTGTACAGTGCCTGCGCAGTTTTGTGCTGGCCAAAGTGCTCGCGCTCATCTACCGGCAGGGAGTTGCGAATAGCAAAGCGAGCGTGGGCGTCACGAGTCTGCCACTGGGAGCGGGCAGTACTGTCAGCAGTAACAGCAGGGGCAGCAGCGAGGCCTAGTGCGTGATCGTACAGCGAGATGTCCTCCTTGGCAGTGAGCTGGAGGAACAGGTGCAAGTCATCGAGCCAGGTGTCAAACTTCAGTGGGCGACCCTCAGCATCGAAAGCGAGTACAGCAGGGCTAGCCATAGTTGCAGGAAGAGCAGTAGTAACAGTAGCAGTAGTAGCAGCAGGCGAAACCCTAAAAGCAGCAGGCAGCACAACTCAGGTAGGGCGGTTCGGTCCAGAGGGGGCTGCTCAGTACGGGGAGGGCGGCGCGGCTCGGTTCGGGCGGCGCGGCTCGGCTCGGGCTGGGCGGCTCGGTTCGGGCGGCTCGGTTCGGGCGGCTCGGTTCGGGCGGCTCGGTTCTGGCGGGGCCGTGGCTGTCGCGTGCGGGGCTGCTAGGTGGGGCGCGCGCGGGGTCGACGGGGCCGACGGGGCCTCTAGGTGGGGCGCGTGCGGGGTCGACGGGGCCGAGAGGGGCCGCTAAGTGGCGGCGCGCGGGGTCGACGGGGCCATAAGGGGCCGCTAAGGGGCTGCGCGCGGGGTCGACGGGGCCGTGAGGGGCCGCTAAGGGGCGGCGCGCGGGGTCGACGGGGCCGTAAGGGGCCGCTAAGGGGCTGCGCGCGGGGTCGACGGGGCCGTGAGGGGCCGCTAAGAGGCGGCGCGCGGGGTCGACGGGGCCGTAAGGGGCCGCTAAGGGGCGGCGCGCGAGGTCGACGGGGCCGTGAGGGGCCGCTAAGGGGCGGCGCGCGGGGTCGACGGGGCCGTAAGGGGCCGCTAAGGGGCAGCTCGCGGGGCCGACGGGGCCGCTAAGGGGCGGGTCGCGGGTCGCGGGGCCTTACAGGGCCGCTAAGGAGGGGCGCACGAGGGCGCTGGGGGGAGGCGCTCGAGGGCGCTCCGACAGTAGGGCGCACGACGGCGCTAGTAGGCAGTCAGTAGTGGTGGGCCCTAAAAAAATTCGGTCCTAGCGGAGGACCTGCTCTGAAACCATGTCAAAGTGAAAGAAACAGGAATGAATGAACTAGCACAAAGTTGGGTACAAGTAGGAAACCCTAAGTTTGTGTACCCCCTAAGGCTAAACCCACTATAGCCTACACAATGTAAACATACAATGTTTGACACACGTGACATCGTGTCCCACCTGCCAGCTCATGAAGTCGTCACGGCAACGACCGGCGGGGCAGTACAACTTTCCGACACGCTGCATGGCTCAGAATCGTTGAGGTTTCAATCTTCCTAGTTTCGATCTTCCTGGAGCTGTGGAACAACTTGAAGTTGATATTAGCTCCAGATTTTTAGTTGCGAATACTGTGCGATACGACCATGAAAGGAATAAATTGGGGCAGGTGCGGTGTGGATGATGACGCTGATGACAGGCTCACCTCAACTCGATAGGTTCCAGTCTCGCAGAGAAAGGCCAATATAGGTCTGAAGCAACGCACACCGATTCGAGAATTTGGCCAAGGCTCTCGCCAGGGCATGAAAGGAGCTACTTATTATAGAGATTCATGGCTGAAGGAGCTATTTATTATATCCTCGTCAGTAACAGCCAAATCTCTATAATAAATAGCTCCTTTTATGCCATGGGAAAAGGATCAAGGGGCCTAGTTCCTCTCAAGCGAGCGTTGTTGGCAGCATTGCTCCCTCTGACCCAGTCGAGCGTGTTGACCAGACAGCATGCGTTTCTGAATCAGTCAACCGCTCCGCTCTCTGGTTAAGCAAGAGGCAAGGCGAAGGGCAATTCCTAAGCGGAGGTTCCGTGGCTGAAGGTGATTGCATTTGATCCACGCCAAGGCCCACAAGGGATGGGTTGTCCCCAGTTGAAGTTGTCAAGGTTAGTAGATTTTTCTTTTCTCGTAAATTAAACGCTTACCTTGGTGTGACAGCTCTGGCCATAGCATTCATCTACGGTGACAACCTGTAAAATATCCCTCTCCATTCCCCTTTGATCTTTCATGGGATACAAGCAGAATAGCTATACCAGGATAAAATTCTCGATCAAGTCAGTGCTTCTCTCACCACACTAAGGTCAATGGCCGACCATATGGGGAGCAAGATTGACAGGTATGCACCGAGCCACAGTTTCTCCTCATTTGCACTGTTTAAGGTGTTGACATATTCCTTCAAGGAAAAAATGGGTAGTACATGCAACGAACGGTTTTGTGTTTCGCAAGTGGCAAGCAGCTTCCCCATCTGCCATTTCCATCGACGATGCATGATCGTGCTCACAAAGTCACATATATCCTACAAGCATGTTCATTTTGCACGTACGGTACTCCTTTTCCACCCCTCCCCATGTAAGTAGAAGCTGTCGATAAGTGCACCGTAGAGACCGAAAAGGTGGTGATTTCTGTGAAAGAAGCTAACCGGCGCCTAGGCATCCTCAACAAGAGGGATTAGAAGGGAATGTTTTATATCCTGCAAATATGAAGTTGGCATCTGCGATGTAGTTTGTGTAAGTAAAAATTGGTCCATATTGTCAAGAGTTGATGATACTTATTACGGTAGTACTGGTAGGTAAGTCTGGTGTGCAGATTGATTGTCGAGTTTAAGCTCACCGTATGCACATGTACGAACCATTCTATAGAGAAAAAAACTGTTAAATAGCGCATTGACAAAGTATGGCCAAAAGTGCATCCCTTTATTTTGCGTAAGCTTTAAACTGTATGAGCATTATGTAATCAGAGTTCTGGTATTGAGTTCCGTACTCTTCTTTTTGCAGTTCGTAACAGTTGCCACCCACCCTCGCCCATCGCGAGCTGGCCCGCCGTGTTACTCCAACCCTTTCTGCTTTCCGCAGTCATTCCGCAGTCAGTCATTCCAGGTGGTTCTGTCGGGGCTGAAATTGCTTGCTTTGACTTCGGAGACTCGGAACAAAACCAACCATTCCTCCGTGTGATGCCACAAGCCAAATGCGAAAACATCGCACCGCATTTTCTGATTGCGCTTCGATGGGCTCCGCGACTAGAAGTCCGCACCCCATGTACAACTTCTTGTTGATTCCGCTCCGCTCCGCCACAATTATAGCACAATTATTGAAACCCGCTTTGGCCGACAATTATTGCCCGACGTCTCAACGCACAACGTCGGCTGCCACAATGGTAGGACCATGGTGGGGATGAACCATGCGACTCCGGCACATTCACTATATAGGAGAACAGAACAGCTGAACGATATTCATGCTTAGGTATCCTGATAAGACAGTTACATGTGGCAGACGGGCCCAAATCTCGCAGAGAACGAATTGCGTGTTCATTTAGTAGTACTAGCTTAGGAAGCATAACTTTTGCTGAGAAGTAAGTCGGTCGGTTCAGTTCTCAGTTCATGCTGTGCAAATCTCCTTTGAACATCCACCGAAGAGTTCTGCGGGTTGCATCTGGAACATTTTTAAGACGTCGCGAAGTTGATACTAAACGGGGGGCATACTTGACATTTAGAGCGACGCTTTCGCAAGTTCAATCATGGCTGGAAAGTTTCCGTCTGTGGCGCCGGCATTCGAGGCGGTCCTGCTCACCGTGGTCTTCATCAGCGCGTGTTTTGCGCCGCTTGCGACGGCGGAGGAAACGTGTATCGCTTCGAGCCTTCCTGGATACAACGTCGCGGCTCCCCTTGGCAACAGGTTTGCTCATCTTCAAATCAAACTCGCACGTTTATTCATATAATATTCTAACCATCTCTATGATAGATACATACCAGGTAGTTGGATTGATACAATGCTGTAACACTTCCTGCCAGTGGTAACCAGTAAGGCAGAGCCGCTCGCGATCAGTGCGCTCGGAGCATTCATCTTCCAGCCTCTCATGCACTTCAGTTGCATCTCATCATCCCCTTACTATTCTCCTCTGCTCCCCCTGATCCCCGTCATTGCCTCTCAAAAATGTCCTCACTTTCTAATGCGCCCGCCCCAGTCTCATTCTGCACTGGATGACACCCAACTCTACCGTCCTCAACCTCGTCCTAGAGACCACCGTACCTGGCTGGGCGGCAGTGGGGTGGTCAGTGGACGGCAGAATGGTAGGAAGCGACGCCGTGGTCGGCAATAGTGACACCCCCGGCCTGTACAGCCTTTTGTCTACCTCGCCCGGTGATCAAAAGCTAATGGATTCTACCAGCCTGGTCGGCGGTATAAAAGTGGAGGAAAATCCGACACACCCCAATGGAAAGCGTATCGTGTGAGTGACACGTCATGAGTGCTCACGCTGCGAATTGTGTGAGTGACACGTCATGATTGCTCATGCTGCGAGTATATCGTAGCTTTTCACAACACATAGCACCCCGGGGTTCCGAAATCAGTGCCATCAAAAGAGCGCAAAAAATCATATGTAATTCGCACGCATTCATACCTACCCACATTCTATTCTAATCACGGGTTTTAGTGGTGGTGTTGTTGTTATTTCAACTGCAGTTTCTCTCGGGCGGAGGGCACAGGGAACGTGCCTGTGAAGCTGTCCGGCCCCTCTGCAATCATCTTTGCTTCCTCGGCTGATGGATCCACGGCTTTTGCCTACCACGGGCCCACAAACAGGTAATTTGTTTAAACCATGGCTTCCGTTCCATGCGCATATCTTAGTCTAGTCAAAACTTAAGCATGAACAAAACAGGTATCCTGTCCCAACCATGGCTTCCTTGTGCATCTCCCAGTCATCTCAAAACAAGCAGGTACTCGGTCCAAACCAAGGCTTCGTTGCGTATCCAGCGTCATTCGTTGTACCCCTCTCGCAATTATTCCCACCACCCACTCTCCACCCTCACTCTGCTGTACAGTATTCATTACTGCACTATAATTCACCTTCTCTTGAAGCGTACACTGAAATATCATAGTCTGTCGTTCCCTATACCTCCAGGGGATCAGTGGTTGTTGATTTCTCCTGCAAGGTGGTAGGGACCCCTCCGGTTGGAGCACCGCCGAGCGCAGCACCGCCGAGCGCAGCACCGCCGAGCGCAGCTCCGCCGATCGAAGCACCGCCGAGCGCAGCTCCGCCGATCGAAGCACCGCCGAGCGCAGCTCCGCCGATCGAAGCACCGCCGAGCGCAGCTCCGCCGATCGAAGCACCGCCGAGCGCAGCTCCGCCGATCGAAGCACCGCCGAGCGCAGCTCCGCCGAGCGCAGCACCGCCGAGCGCAGCTCCGCCAATAGAAGCGCCACCGAGCGACGCACCTCCGAGCGACGCTGACCATTGCCCACCTCCGAGCGACGCACCGCCGAGCGACGCACCGCCGAGCGACGCACCGCCGAGCGACGCACCACCGAGCGACGCACCGCCGAGCGACGCACCGCCGAGCGACGCACCACCGAGCGACGCACCGCCGAGCGACGCACCGCCGAGCGACGCACCACCGAGCGACGCACCGCCGAGCGACGCACCACCGAGCGACGCACCGCCGAGCGACGCACCACCGAGTGACGCACCGCCGAGCGACGCACCACCGAGCGACGCACCGCCGAGCGACGCACCGCCGAGCGACGCACCGCCGAGCGACGCACCGCCGAGCGACGCACCACCGAGCGACGCACCACCGAGCGACGCACCGCCGAGTGACGCACCACCGAGCGACGCCCCTCCGAGTGACGCAGCGCGCGAAGCAGCGCCCAGCGACGCAGCACCAAGAGACCGCTCTCTCCTTTGCGTGCAGGGACTCCGCGGTTGTTAGCAACACCAAGGGACTTCGCTCTCCAGCACCATTGGTGTTGCTTTTGAGAACTAACAGTAGCACAGCACAAGCCACATCGTCTCGTCTCGTCTCCAACAAGAACTCAACTTGAGCCATCCCCGATAGAGGCACAACCAACCACAACCAACCTGTTCGTCCCCACCAACCCGGAGACACACCGATACTATGGGTGTGTCACATGACATCACACTTCATCCATGGCTTTTACGCATCGCGCAGCTCTTCAGCAGCACGACCCAGCCCGTTGTTCTGATCCAGCCCTCTCGGCTTTTGGGCACCGCACCACAGCCGCCAACGGCAGGTGGTTGGCTGGCTTGGCTGGCCTCGCCGCTTGAGGTGGGGCGATCGTTATTGGCTGGTTCCTTTGCATACGAATAAGTCGAGTGCTGTGCTGGTGGATACGACGTGTGAAATTGAATGCGTAGGTCATTGTTTGCACACTATGAATAATAAAAGTGCCAATTGTTATTCGTCATCTCCAATCTCTCCACCTTTCCAGGATGTGAGAAAGGGTTGGGTTGGGTTTGGCTGGGCGGGGAGCTGGAAGCGTGTGGGGGGGGCAAGGGGGATGGAAAGAGAGGGAAGCTGCAGCATTCAATACCTCTGTAGTGTTTACAGATAATACATTGGCTTGGCTATAATACACATAATCGGGTCGCTTTGTTCGATCCACATGGTACACACTAGCTTCTCTCCACTTGGCATCTTCTAACCACACGCAACACATCTCCCACCAGGTGCAGCGACCCTGTCACCAACACCTGCAGATGGACGTCTGGGTGCATCCTGGCCGTCCATCTAAGCAGATCAATGGCCGCCGGTAGCGACGGTAGCACAGCACTGCGAGGCCCCAGTTTTGCCATTTCCTGGGAGATCAACGGCCAGGATGAATCCTTCATTTCTTTCATTACCGCTGCTTGTGTTGCTCCTTGTGCTGCATGTGCGGCTGCTTGGGATGTTTCCTGTGATGCTGCTTGTGCTGGTGATGCTACTGATTGAGTGAGCTCATGAGGCAAAAGAAGGAACGAGGCAGGAATCGAGTCAACTGAACGGACTTGAGAAGCAGCAGCATCAACAGAAGTACCAGCACCAGCACCGGCAGCAGCAGCAGCAGCAGCAGCAGAAGTAGCATGATGCAGTGGCTGCTGCTGCTGCAGCTGTTCCCATGTTTGCTGCATAGACAGCTGCCAATCCAAGCTGCTCTGGCCGAGGCTGCCGCTTTGCCTCGGCACACTAGGATCGGTGCCAGAGCTGCTGCTTTGCCTCGGCGTTTCAGTATCGGGTCTAGGAGGGTGGGACGAGGTAAGATGAGAGGGAGAGGAGGTGGAGGGAGGGGGGAGGAGAGTGCTGTAGGAGGAGAGGGACGGGGCGAAGAGGGCAACTTGAATGGTCAGGCCTGTAGGGGAAGGGGGAACGGAAAAGGAGGGGGAAAGGAAGGGAATGGGAAAGGAAGATATTGAGGAAGCAAATGATTGGGAAGAGAGGGGAACGAGGAAGGAAGGGAATGGGAAAGGAGGGGAATGGCCAAGGAGGGGAATGTGGAAGGAAGGGAATCGGAAAGAAGGAGAGTGAGGAAGGCACCTGACTGTTCCCTATTGAGAATTTTCAAACGCACCCGAGTATATTCAAACGCACCTCTACGCTCAAGCGTGTCGAGCAGCTGTGCCATGAGTGTTTCCATGCACCTGACTGTTCTCAACCGAACTTGACCCATTTCAACCGTACCCCAGTGTTTTCAGACACACCTCTACGCTCAAGCGTCTCGAGCAGCTGTGCCATGAGTGTTTCCATGCACCTGACTGTTCTCAACCAAACTTGACCCTTTTCAACCGTACCCCAGTGTTTTCAGACACACCTCTACGCTCAAGCGTGTCGAGCAGCTGTGCCACGAGTGTGCGAGGGTCTCTCTTAGTCATGCAGTTGAAGAGCAGTACCTGTGAGTGAGAGTAAGGCAGGCGGCACAAGGCACGAGTGTGCGAGGGGGTCAGCAGCTGAGTGAACGAGGGGGAAGCCCATGTGAGACCATGTCACTCAACCCGCCATGTCACTCAACCCGCCACGTCACTTGACCCGCCACGTCACTTGACCTGCCATGTCACTCAACCCGCCATGTCACTCAACCCGCCATGTCACTCAACCCGCCATGTCACTCAACCCGCCACGTCACTTGACCCGCCACGTCACTTGACCTGCCATGTCACTCAACCCGCCATGTCACTTGACCCGCCATCTCATTCAACCTGCCATGTCACTCAACCCGCCACGTCACTCGACCCGCCACGTCACTTGACCCGCCATATCACTTGACCCGCCACGTCACTTGACCCGCCACGTCACTTGACCCGCCATGTCACTTGGCCCGCCATGTCACTCAACCCGCCATGTCACTCAACCCGCCACGTCACTCAACCCGCCACGTCACTCAACCCGCCATGTCACTCAACCCGCCACGTCACTCAACCCGCCATGTCACTCAACCCGCCATGTCACTCAACCCGCCATGTCACTCAACCCGCCACGTCACTTGTCCCGCCATGTCACTTGACCCGCCATGTCACTCAACCCACCATGTCACTCAACCCGCCATGTCACTCAACCCGCCATGTCACTCAACCCGCCATGTCACTTGACCCGCCACGTCACTTGACCCGCCATGTCACCCGACTCGCCATGTCACCCGACCTGCCATGTCACCCGACCCGCCATGTCACCCGACCCGCCATGTCACCCGACCTGCCGTCCACTTGACTTGACCCTTGCATCCCTGCTGCTGCCCCTTCAGGCTTATGCTGCTTCTTCCTCTTTCGAGTCAACTCGAAACTTACCCGCACAGGTGTCTTGCCTTCCACTTGACTTGACTCTTGCACCCCTGCTGCTGTCAACTCTTCTGCCCCTTCATCTGCCCCTTCATCTGCCCGTTCATCTGCCCCTGCACACCCTGTTCCACTTTGAGTGGCATCGCAGAACCACTCCCCGCACACCTCCATGCTTTCCACTGTATGGGCACCGTCTAAGAAAAACGTCAGCTGCCCGCCTGCACCTCCATCCTGCCCAGGCGCGGTTGTGCAGTCCTGCAAAATTTCGCACCTGCCCAGCCAGGAAACACTCCCTAGCCCTGTGATGTAGGCAGGTGGCAGTGTCTTACTGGCCAGGGCCTGAACTGGGTGAATGGGGGAAAAAGACAAGGAAAGCCAACCAGGCAAACGGGAATGAGAAAGGAAGTCAGACCAGACAGAGACTGCAATCAGGTGGCAGCGTCCTATTGGCCAGCATAGTACCAGGTGACCCTACTATTGTGGTAGTAATAGGGAATGTCCGAGTGGTCGCGAGGTGATTTTTGAGGCGCCTAAATGTCCGCACTGAACCTCACCTGATCGACTGCCTGTGCCTCCTCTTCCCTGCCGCTGCGCAGGGCCCACTGGCGGCACATGGAGACGGCCAGCGAGGCGTTGATCTCTTGGTGCTTGCCATGCTACCACACACTACCTCAGGGCACCTCACAGCGCCTCATAGCACCTCACAGCACCGCACAGCACCACACAGCACCGCACTGAACCTCACCTCATCAATTGCACGTGCCTCCTCTGTCCTGCCACTGCCGATGGCCCACTGGCGGCACAGAGAAACGGCCAGTGAGGCGTTGATCTCCTGGTGCTTGCCAGCCAATCCCACGCGGACACCTGGCGCCACCTCGTGCCACGGCCTGGCGACCTCCAGAGGAATCTAGGAGTAGAAGAGGAGGAAGGGGGGAAAGGAAGCGAGAGATGAAGGGAGAAAAAGAGGTGAAGATATAATTTTCATAAGTTGGAAAAATGACTCCAGCATGGTTGTAGGAATGCGTGAGACCATGGGATGAAAATAGATGGTTTTTGCTCCTCGTGCTGTTACTGCTGCCGTACGAGTTGACAACAAAACGCGCACGCACGCATGCATGCATGCATGCACACCCATCTGGAAACTTCCCACACACCTGCAGCTCCGCTGCTCGCTGCCGGAGCACCTCCATTGCCTCCTCCTCCTGTGGCGCCGTCACTGCCGGCACTCCTGCCTGGGGGGGATGGGGGAGTGTCCAGAGGGGATGACACAGCGAAAGCGTGAGAATGCGGCTAAAAGATGAGTGGAAGCAAAAAACCTACTGCTGCCCCTTTGGCCCTCCACACGCCCTGCACAACCTCCCAACCATCTACTCCCTCCCCTTTCTCATCTTTCTCCTGCCCTACAATGTAACCCCCTCTTCTCCCCACCTCATCCAACCCTCCTCGTGATTGGTCCTCTGTACCAATCTTCGTACCTTGAATATCCCAGCCTTCTGGTCCGCTATCAGAGCGAGAGTGTTTCCTGACAATTTTGCAGAGGCAGAAAACCAGGTGGTGCAGAATAAACAATCATGAGGCAATGATGGAGAGGGAATGGGAATGAGAGTGGACGGGGAGGAATAATCATGAATGGAAGGGGGTGAAATGGGGTGAATGCTAGGTGTAGACATGAACATTGAACCGTACCTCAATCGAACGAGACGACTATGGTCAAACCGAGCTTTTCTATTTTTATATTTTTCATGATTTATATTCATATACATATAAATCAAGACCCGTGTAAGACCCGCAAGTGCGTGGGGGTGCTTTTCCGGCCGACAGAACAGCCTGGTTGGTGAGTTGTGAGAGTTTCCAAAGCTCACCAGCAACAACAGAACACCCGCAAGTGCGTGGGGGTGCGTTTCTGGTCAACAGAACAGCTTGGCTGGACGGGGGTGAGGCTCCGACCCCATCCAGCCAACCTCCAAACCGCCCAGCACACCTGCAACCCACCCAACAGCACACCTCCAACCCGCCCAGCCGCAAACCTCCAAACCACTCAGCACCCCTCCGACTCACCCAGCACCTCCATGTGGTCGAAGCCCAGTGAGGACACGCCACACACCGCTGGGCACTTGACCTGATGGGGTAGCGGTTGATGGGGGAACAAGAGAAGGGGAGGTGGAAAGGGGAGAAGAGGAAGCGGACAAGAAGAGGGGGAGGATGGGATCGATGGGGGGCGAGGCAGGCAGGTGGGCAGGCAGGCGGGCGGGCGGACGGGCGCCGGCCGGGTAGGCGGACAGGCAGAGAAAGACAGACAGACAGACAGGCAGATGGATCGACAGACATGAAGTGCATGATTCATCAACTAGCATACTTGCCATACTGGCGGATGGCCAGACAGACAGGAAGTGGATGGAATGGAAAGACAGACTCACAATGTTCGTGCCGTCATATCTCCCTCCAACCCCCACCTCGAGAATTGCCACGTCAACCTGCCACGTAGGGCAAGGGAGGGAAGACGAGGTGGAATGAAGAAGCGCAGGACGAGCAGCATGACAGCACTGCCACGTCAACCTGCCACATAAGGAAATTTAGAACGAGCAGTGAGCTGAGAGGGGCATGCCTGGGAGTGGGGGAACGAGCCGTGGGTGAGAGAAAGAGGCTTGTCTGGGTGTGGGTGAAGGAGCAGAGAGTGAGAGAGGCGCTTGAGAGACGCTTGCCTGGGTGTGAGTGAAGATGCGCAGCGCAAGCAGAGTGAGGAAGCGGAAGTAGGCCGGCATGGGGATGGGGGAGGAGGGGGACGACGCTGCTGCCTGGCGGGGTGGTGAAGGGTGGAAACACGAGAATGGGGAGAAATTATTGATCGAATAAACAATTTATTAGCAACCTGTTGAATTGGGAGTAGACGGCATGGGGATGGGGGACGAGGGTGACGGCACCACTTCCTGGAGGGGTGGAGGGGTGGAGAGGTGGAAAAGGGAAAAAGAGAGAGGGATGGGGGAATGGGAAACATGGGAGAAGGTGAGGGATGAGGGAATGAGATACATGGGGGGGCATGAGGGATGGGGGATGCTATCATGCCACTCAACACCCTGTGCAGTTCTTTTCGGTACATATATCTGTGGCTGACCTTTTGAGCCTTTTGAGGCGCCTCAAAAGTCTTTTTTTTTTTTCGGTACATATATCTGTGGCTTACCTTTTCAGCCTCGCACCTTACATCGGTCGTAGCACCACCAGAAATGCTGCAGGAAGGTCCCAACTGACACCATCTCCCTGGGTTGATCATTTCAAACGGGTTGATCATTTCAAACGGAGGTAGACAAAGAGGGTGCGAATGTGAAGACAAAGCACGGCACAGAGCATACCCCCTTCACCACTCACCCTTCACCACTCACCACTCACCCTGCTGCACCTCTCCCATTCCACCACTCACCCGTTGAGGCGAAAGCGCTCTCTGACGTCCACGAGGGTGCAACAACCAGGGAGCACCCATTGAAGTTACTAAATGTAGCAAGGCTGAACCTCCTGAACCTTTCACCTCCCACCCTAAACCACTCCCCCTTCAGCACTCCACCGTCACCACAGACCCGTTGAGGCGGAATCGCTCCCGGACGTCCACGAGGTGAGGCGAGGTGAAGAGGTGTGCTCTGAGTCGACTCAAAACACTCCCTCTGAGGCGAAGCATCCCCCTTCAGCACTCCCCTCTTCACATCACTCACCCGTTGAGGCGGAAGCGCTCCCGGACGTCCACGAGGTGTGGCGAGGTGAAGAGCCCTGTGGTGTGTCCGCTGGCCCTCAGCATGCTCTCCGCCATGGCGCACGTGGACCCCTGCTGGGGCGAGGGGGAGGTTAATGAGAGGAAGGATGGTATAAGGAAGGAGCAGAGTTGCAGCCACACGTTGAGCCCGCTGGCCCTCAGCATGCTCTCCGCCATGGCGCACGTGGACCCCTGAAGGGAGAGGGGGAGAGGAATGGGCGGAGGGGACGAGAGAAAGAGATGAGGAGCAGAACTGCAGTCCGGTGGTGTGGCCGCTGGCCCTCAGCATGCTCTCCGCCATGGCGCACGTGGACCCCTGCTGGGGCGAGGGAACATAGAGATTAGAGAAGAGGGAAAGAAAGAACGAAGAGGAGAGACAGAAGAGCAAGAGGGGTACGGTGTTTGCAATGGTGCAGGTGCGATCTGCTCACATGACAGAAATGTAGTGCACTGGTACAGGTGCGATCTGTGCCTGTCAGCATGTTGGTTACTTGCCTTGCCTTTGGTGCCTGCCACGTGGATGATGCTGAGCTGGTCAACTGGCCCCTCCAGGTCAAGAACCTGACAACAAGAACAGATAAACAGACAACAGATTCATCTTGAGAATTCCCAGAATGAATCTACTGGTCCCTCCAGGTCAAGAACCTGACAACAAGAACAGATAAACAGACAACAGATTCATCTTGAGAATTTCCAGAATGAATCTACTGGTCCCTCCAGGTCAAGAACCTGACAACAAGAACAGATAAACAGACAACAGATTCATCTTGAGAATTCCCAGAATGAATCTACTGGTCCCTCCAGGTCCAGAACCTGACAACAAGAACAGATAAACAGACAACAGATTCATCTTGAGAATTCCCAGAATGAATCTACTGGTCCCTCCAGGTCCAGAACCTGACAACAAGAACAGATAAACAGACAACAGATTCATCTTGAGAATTCCCAGAATGAATCTACTGGTCCCTCCAGGTCCAGAACCTGACATCAAGAACATAAAAGCAGACAACGGGTTTCAGCACCACGAAAAGACAGATAAACGGGAGCTCACTTAGACCAACCTTAACATAAGAACGCATAAGTGCGAAATCATGCGCCCAGTTTCGGCCATCGGCGCGCTTCTGCGGACTAATCAGACCAGACAGTGCCGCTAGAGCAGCCTCGTAGCCACGTGGATCGATGTCATTGGCTCGCGATTCGGACTCCATCAACCTGCCGCTTGATTGACTTCCAGGTACCATGGCGGATTAAGAAACGCCGCTTGCCATATTGTGCCAGATAAACGGATATTTAGTGACCCTTGGCGGAAAATTGCGGGAAACGCTGCTGTTTGTGCGGCTAGCGGCGACACGTGCAGAGCTGGTACGACGGATAGGTGGAAATTGCGAGAGGTAACGGCAGAGGTTTGCGATGATGGATCAGCGAGGAGAGTGGCGACGATACTGCGGAATGATAGTGGCGGTTGAACGATGAATGAAGGAAAGAAACGCTCCGAAGAGCAAACGATGATCATCAGCCACTGGGTCTCGATGGAATGGAAGCTATGTAGAAATTTGTGCCTTCCTGCCAGGTATTTGTGCGCAGCCGAATCCCAAGGGGTGGTGGAAGGAAGTGCGTAGGGGAAGGTGCTGGCAATATTGCATACATAGGGGAAAGTGCTTGGGGTAACCGTACGCTTGTTGGGCTGGCGAAACTTGCCGAGGTACAGCGATTCGCGGTTTCCTCGCGCAGCAATTCGTGCATGTGCAGGTCTGCATTCTTTAGCCTGCACGAAAATTTCGCGAGAACCTCTGTTCCGTTCAGGTAGGCCAACGAGGAGTCACTAATTTCGCAGGATAGAGCTGGCCCCCTTCAGAAGTTTTCGCCTCCGCTTTCACTTTCGCATCCCAGCTTGTATGAAACAATTGGTTTCTTCTACGAGACGGTTGGTTGGTAGGTAAATGAGCTTTAGGAAAATACTAGTAGTATAGGTCGAGGCGCGTTTCTTGCGGAGCCTGAACCATGCTCCGCCATATACGGGTACTTTACTAAAATGGCTAATTACGGGTACTTTACTAGCGAGTACGTGAACCGTTCGCGGTTCCCATTCCGTGCGTGGATCTTTCCTCTTTTGCTTGTAGCAGCTCTCCACCTGGTTCCAGTTTTAGGGTTACCTGACCGAGTAACCGACGTAAGAACGAATCTACTTGCTTACGAGAATGCCAATAACGAGGACAGACCTAGAGTATCTTCGCGAAGTTTACCCCGTCGTCTACCTACCAACGGGCTGAATGTTGACCATGCACCGTCCCTAACCCATAATACCGTTCTGCACTCGAATTACATTGCTTCCGCGAAAACGAGCGATAACGGGTTACCCGAGGGTGGGGATCGTCGTCTTGGCGTGACGACCGGTGTCGCGAATACAGACACGGTCGGATGGCGAGGAGGAGAATCAAGTGACCGCGAGGGTCACTACCACCGCCCTGGTACGACGTCTGCGCCTGGGACTGCTTCTGCGACTGCTGCTGCGACTGCTGCTGCGACTGCTGCTGCGACTGCTGCTGCGACTGCTGCTGCGACTGCTGCTGCGACTGCTGCTGCGACTGCTGCTGCGACTGTTGCTGCGACTGCTGCTGCGACTGTTGCTGCGACTGTTGCTGCGGCTGCTGTTGAGCTATCGGAGAGCCGTCGGTGGTTGCGCGGAGAAGCAGAGAGAGGCTCTGCTGGTTCAAGCGATGTGAGCGATGCTGCTGCGACCGCTGCTGCGACTCCTGCTGCGACCGCCGCTGCGACTGCTGCTGCGGAGAGTCGTCGGTGGTTGCGCAGCGAACCAGATACAGGCTCAGATGTGAACGGTGCTGCAGCGGCTTCCGTTGAGGCCTTAAAGCGACGTCGGTGGTTGCAGGGAGAAGCAGATACAGGCACTGCTGCTGCCGACGGGGGCGGGGACGGGGATGGGGATGGGGATGGGGATGGGGATGGGGATGGGGATGGGAAGGGGGATGGTGATGGGGATGGGGATGGGGATGGGAATGGGGATGGGGATGGGGATGGGGATGGGAAGGGAGATGGGGATGGGGATGGGGATGGGAAGGGGGATGGGGATGGGAATGGTGATGTGAATGGGGATGGGGACGGGGACGGGAAGGGGGATGGGGATGGGGATGGGGTTGGGAATGGGGATGGGAATGGGAATGGGGATAAGAAGGCGGAGGGGAAGATGAGGAGAGATCGAATGGAGGCGGCAACGTGGAGGGTGATGGGAGCAGTGATGGGGAAGACCGAAGTGACGAATCTGAAGGGGATGGGCAGGGGAATGCGAAGGGAGAAGGGATGGGAGAAGGGATGGGGGATGAGAAGGAGGAGGAGAATGGAGAAGACTGTAAAGGCAGTGATGATGATGCTTCATGGAGTAGTAATATGGAAGGTAATGAGGAGGGTATGGACGGGAGCGGTAATGGGGAAGGTAATGAGGAAGGAGGGAATAGTGGTGGGGAAGGCAATGGGGAAGATAAGGCAGGGAATAGTGATGGGGAAGACAGTGAGGAGGATAATGCAGGGAATAGTGATGGGGAAGGCAATGAGGAGGATAATGCAGGGAATAGTGATGGGGAAGACAGTGAGGAGGAAGGAGGGAGTAGCACTGATGGGCAATACCATGAGGATATCGACGGAAGTGATAATGGGGAAGATGGAGATAATGGGGATGACAATGAGGAGGATAAGGAAGGGAGTGATAACGGGGATGCCAATGAGGAGGACAGGGAAGGGAGTAGTGATGCGCAGGGCAGCGCGGAGGAAGGATCAATTAGCTTAGATGGGCGAGACAATGATAATTTGGAAGGGAGTGGTAATGGGGAGGGCAATAAGGAGGATAAGGCAGCAAAAAAAGCAAGGAGGAAGGAAGAGAAGAAGAAACGGGCAGAAGAGAAGGCAAGGAGGAAAAGGGAGAAGGAGGAACTAAAGGCAGAGAAGGCAAAGAGAAAGGAGGAGAAGCAGAGAAGGAAAGCTGAGAACGAAGCAGAGCAGCAGGGGGGAGAGGAGCAGCAGGGGGGAGAGGAGCAGCAGGGGGGAGAGGAGCAGCAGGGGGGAGAGGAGCAGCAGGGGGGAGAGGAGCAGCAGGGGGGAGAGGAGCAGCAGGGGGGAGAGGAGCAGCAGGGGGGAGAGGAGCAGCAGGGGGGAGAGGAGCAGCAGGGGGGAGAGGAGCAGCAGGGGGGAGAGGAGCAGCAGGGGGGAGAGGAGCAGCAGGGGGGAGAGGAGCAGCAGGGGGGAGAGGAGCAGCAGGGGGGAGAGGAGCAGCAGGGGGGAGAGGAGCAGCAGGGGGGAGAGGAGCAGCAGGGGGGAGAGGAGCAGCAGGGGGAGAGGAGCAGCAGGGGGGAGAGGAGCAGCAGGGGGGAGAGGAGCAGCAGGGGGGAGAGGAGCAGCAGGGGGGAGAGGAGCAGCAGGGGGGAGAGGAGCAGCAGGGGGGAGAGGAGCAGCAGGGGGGAGAGGAGCAGCAGGGGGGAGAGGAGCAGCAGGGGGGAGAGGAGCAGCAGGGGGGAGAGGAGCAGCAGGGGGGAGAGGAGCAGCAGGGGGGAGAGGAGCAGCAGGGGGGAGAGGAGCAGCAGGGGGGGAGAGGAGCAGCAGGGGGGAGAGGAGCAGCAGGGGGGAGAGGAGCAGCAGGGGGGAGAGGAGCAGCAGGGGGGAGAGGAGCAGCAGGGGGGAGAGGAGCAGCAGGGGGAGAGGAGCAGCAGGGGGGAGAGGAGCAGCAGGGGGGAGAGGAGCAGCAGGGGGGAGAGGAGCAGCAGGGGGGAGAGGAGCAGCAGGGGGACGAGGAGCAGCAGGGGGACGAGGAGCAGCAGGGGGGAGAGGAGCAGCAGGGGGACGAGGAGCAGCAGGGGGACGAGGAGCAGCAGGGGGACGAGGAGCAGCAGGGGGGAGAGGAGCAGCAGGGGGACGAGGAGCAGCAGGGGGACGAGGAGCAGCAGGGGGACGGGGAGAGGAGCAGCAGGGGGGAGAGGAGCAGCAGGGGGGAGAGGAGCAGCAGGGGGGAGAGGAGCAGCAGGGGGGAGAGGAGCAGCAGGGGGGAGAGGAGCAGCAGGGGGGAGAGGAGCAGCAGGGGGGAGAGGAGCAGCAGGGGGGAGAGGAGCAGCAGGGGGGAGAGGAGCAGCAGGGGGGAGAGGAGCAGCAGGGGGGAGAGGAGCAGCAGGGGGGAGAGGAGCAGCAGGGGGGAGAGGAGCAGCAGGGGGGAGAGGAGCAGCAGGGGGGAGAGGAGCAGCAGGGGGGAGAGGAGCAGCAGGGGGACGAGGAGCAGCAGGGGGACGAGGAGCAGCAGGGGGAGAGGAGCAGCAGGGGGACGAGGAGCAGCAGGGGGACGAGGAGCAGCAGGGGGACGAGGAGCAGCAGGGGGGAGAGGAGCAGCAGGGGGACGAGGAGCAGCAGGGGGACGAGGAGCAGCAGGGGGACGAGGAGCAGCAGGGGGACGAGGAGCAGCAGGGGACGAGGAGCAGCAGGGGGACGAGGAGCAGCAGGGGGACGAGGAGCAGCAGGGGGACGAGGAGCAGCAGGGGGACGAGGAGCAGCAGGGGGACGAGGAGCAGCAGGGGGACGAGGAGCAGCAGGGGGACGAGGAGCAGCAGGGGGACGAGGAGCAGCAGGGGGACGAGGAGCAGCAGGGGGACGAGGAGCAGCAGGGGGACGAGGAGCAGCAGGGGGACGAGGAGCAGCAGGGGGACGAGGAGCAGCAGGGGGACGAGGAGCATCAGGGGGACGAGGAGCAGCAGGGGGACGAGGAGCAGCAGGGGGACGAGGAGCAGCAGGGGGACGAGGAGCAGCAGGGGGACGAGGAGCAGCAGGGGGACGAGGAGCAGCAGGGGGACGAGGAGCAGCAGGGGGACGAGGAGCAGCAGGGGGACGAGGAGCAGCAGGGGGACGAGGAGCAGCAGGGGGACGAGGAGCAGCAGGGGGACGAGGAGCAGCAGGGGGACGAGGAGCAGCAGGGGGACGAGGAGCAGCAGGGGGACGAGGAGCAGCAGGGGGACGAGGAGCAGCAGGGGGACGAGGAGCAGCAGGGACGCAGCAGGGGGACGAGGAGCAGCAGGGGGACGAGGAGCAGCAGGGGGACGAGGAGCAGCAGGGGGACGAGGAGCAGCAGGGGGACGAGGAGCAGCAGGGGACGAGGAGCAGCAGGGGGACGAGGAGCAGCAGGGGGACGAGGAGCAGCAGGGGGACGAGGAGCAGCAGGGGGACGAGGAGCAGCAGGGGGACGAGGAGCAGCAGGGGGACGAGGAGCAGCAGGGGGACGAGGAGCAGCAGGGGGACGAGGAGCAGCAGGGGGACGAGGAGCAGCAGGGGGACGAGGAGCAGCAGGGGGACGAGGAGCAGCAGGGGGACGAGGAGCAGCAGGGGACGAGGAGCAGCAGGGGGACGAGGAGCAGCAGGGGGACGAGGAGCAGCAGGGGGACGAGGAGCAGCAGGGGGACGAGGAGCAGCAGGGGGACGAGGAGCAGCAGGGGACGAGGAGCAGCAGGGGGACGAGGAGCAGCAGGGGGACGAGGAGCAGCAGGGGGACGAGGAGCAGCAGGGGGACGAGGAGCAGCAGGGGGACGAGGAGCAGCAGGGGACGAGGAGCAGCAGGGGACGAGGAGCAGCAGGGGGACGAGGAGCAGCAGGGGGACGAGGAGCCAGCAGGGGGACGAGGAGCAGCAGGGGGACGAGGAGCAGCAGGGGGACCGAGGAGCAGCAGGGGGACGAGGAGCAGCAGGGGGACGAGGAGCAGCAGGGGACGAGGAGCAGCAGGGGGGACGAGGAGCAGCAGGGGGACGAGGAGCAGCAGGGGGACGAGGAGCAGCAGGGGGGACGAGGAGCAGCAGGGGGACGAGGAGCAGCAGGGGGACGAGGAGCAGCAGGGGGACGAGGAGCAGCAGGGGGACGAGGAGCAGCAGGGGGACGAGGAGCAGCAGGGGACGAGGAGCAGCAGGGGGACGAGGAGCAGCAGGGGGACGAGGAGCAGCAGGGGGACGAGGAGCAGCAGGGGGACGAGGAGCAGCAGGGGGACGAGGAGCAGCAGGGGGACGAGGAGCAGCAGGGGGACGAGGAGCAGCAGGGGGACGAGGAGCAGCAGGGGGACGAGGAGCAGCAGGGGGACGAGGAGCAGCAGGGGACGAGGAGCAGCAGGGGACGAGGAGCAGCAGGGGACGAGGAGCAGCAGGGGGACGAGGAGCAGCAGGGGGACGAGGAGCAGCAGGGGGACGAGGAGCAGCAGGGGGACGAGGAGCAGCAGGGGGACGAGGAGCAGCAGGGGGACGAGGAGCAGCAGGGGGACGAGGAGCAGCAGGGGACGAGGAGCAGCAGGGGGACGAGGAGCAGCAGGGGGACGAGGAGCAGCAGGGGGACGAGGAGCAGCAGGGGGACGAGGAGCAGCAGGGGGACGAGGAGCAGCAGGGGGACGAGGAGCAGCAGGGGGACGAGGAGCAGCAGGGGGACGAGGAGCAGCAGGGGGACGAGGAGCAGCAGGGGGACGAGGAGCAGCAGGGGGACGAGGAGCAGCAGGGGGACGAGGAGCAGCAGGGGGACGAGGAGCAGCAGGGGGACGAGGAGCAGCAGGGGGACGAGGAGCAGCAGGGGGACGAGGAGCAGCAGGGGGACGAGGAGCAGCAGGGGACGAGGAGCAGCAGGGGACGAGGAGCAGCAGGGGGACGAGGAGCAGCAGGGGGACGAGGAGCAGCAGGGGGACGAGGAGCAGCAGGGGGACGAGGAGCAGCAGGGGGACGAGGAGCAGCAGGGGGACGAGGAGCAGCAGGGGGACGAGGAGCAGCAGGGGGACGAGGAGCAGCAGGGGGACGAGGAGCAGCAGGGGGGACGAGGAGCAGCAGGGGGACGAGGAGCAGCAGGGGGACGAGGAGCAGCAGGGGGACGAGGAGCAGCAGGGGGACGAGGAGCAGCAGGGGGACGAGGAGCAGCAGGGGGACGAGGAGCAGCAGGGGGGACGAGGAGCAGCAGGGGGACGAGGAGCAGCAGGGGACGAGGAGCAGCAGGGGGGACGAGGAGCAGCAGGGGGACGAGGAGCAGCAGGGGGACGAGGGAGCAGCAGGGGACGAGGAGCAGCAGGGGGACGAGGAGCAGCAGGGGGACGAGGAGCAGCAGGGGGACGAGGAGCAGCAGGGGGACGAGGAGCAGCAGGGGGACGAGGAGCAGCAGGGGGACGAGGAGCAGCAGGGGGACGAGGAGCAGCAGGGGGACGAGGAGCAGCAGGGGGACGAGGAGCAGCAGGGGGACGAGGAGCAGCAGGGGGACGAGGAGCAGCAGGGGGACGAGGAGCAGCAGGGGGACGAGGAGCAGCAGGGGGACGAGGAGCAGCAGGGGGACGAGGAGCAGCAGGGGGACGAGGAGCAGCAGGGGGACGAGGAGCAGCAGGGGGACGAGGAGCAGCAGGGGGACGAGGAGCAGCAGGGGGACGAGGAGCAGCAGGGGGACGAGGAGCAGCAGGGGGACGAGGAGCAGCAGGGGGACGAGGAGCAGCAGGGGGACGAGGAGCAGCAGGGGGACGAGGAGCAGCAGGGGGACGAGGAGCAGCAGGGGGACGAGGAGCAGCAGGGGGACGAGGAGCAGCAGGGGGACGAGGAGCAGCAGGGGGACGAGGAGCAGCAGGGGGACGAGGAGCAGCAGGGGGACGAGGAGCAGCAGGGGGACGAGGAGCAGCAGGGGGACGAGGAGCAGCAGGGGGACGAGGAGCAGCAGGGGGGACGAGGAGCAGCAGGGGGGACGAGGAGCAGCAGGGGGACGAGGAGCAGCAGGGGGACGAGGAGCAGCAGGGGACGAGGAGCAGCAGGGGGACGAGGAGCAGCAGGGGGACGAGGAGCAGCAGGGGGACGAGGAGCAGCAGGGGGACGAGGAGCAGCAGGGGGACGAGGAGCAGCAGGGGGACGAGGAGCAGCAGGGGGACGAGGAGCAGCAGGGGGACGAGGAGCAGCAGGGGGACGAGGAGCAGCAGGGGGACGAGGAGCAGCAGGGGACGAGGAGCAGCAGGGGGACGAGGAGCAGCAGGGGGACGAGGAGCAGCAGGGGGACGAGGAGCAGCAGGGGGACGAGGAGCAGCAGGGGGACGAGGAGCAGCAGGGGGACGAGGAGCAGCAGGGGGACGAGGAGCAGCAGGGGGACGAGGAGCAGCAGGGGGACGAGGAGCAGCAGGGGGACGAGGAGCAGCAGGGGGACGAGGAGCAGCAGGGGGACGAGGAGCAGCAGGGGGACGAGGAGCAGCAGGGGGACGAGGAGCAGCAGGGGGACGAGGAGCAGCAGGGGGACGAGGAGCAGCAGGGGGACGAGGAGCAGCAGGGGGACGAGGAGCAGCAGGGGGACGAGGAGCAGCAGGGGGACGAGGAGCAGCAGGGGGACGAGGAGCAGCAGGGGGACGAGGAGCAGCAGGGGGACGAGGAGCAGCAGGGGGACGAGGAGCAGCAGGGGGACGAGGAGCAGCAGGGGGACGAGGAGCAGCAGGGGGACGAGGAGCAGCAGGGGGACGAGGAGCAGCAGGGGGACGAGGAGCAGCAGGGGGACGAGGAGCAGCAGGGGGACGAGGAGCAGCAGGGGGACGAGGAGCAGCAGGGGGACGAGGAGCAGCAGGGGGACGAGGAGCAGCAGGGGGACGAGGAGCAGCAGGGGGACGAGGAGCAGCAGGGGGACGAGGAGCAGCAGGGGGACGAGGAGCAGCAGGGGGACGAGGAGCAGCAGGGGGACGAGGAGCAGCAGGGGGACGAGGAGCAGCAGGGGGACGAGGAGCAGCAGGGGGACGAGGAGCAGCAGGGGGACGAGGAGCAGCAGGGGGACGAGGAGCAGCAGGGGGACGAGGAGCAGCAGGGGGACGAGGAGCAGCAGGGGGACGAGGAGCAGCAGGGGGACGAGGAGCAGCAGGGGGACGAGGAGCAGCAGGGGGACGAGGAGCAGCAGGGGGACGAGGAGCAGCAGGGGGACGAGGAGCAGCAGGGGGACGAGGAGCAGCAGGGGGACGAGGAGCAGCAGGGGGACGAGGAGCAGCAGGGGGACGAGGAGCAGCAGGGGGACGAGGAGCAGCAGGGGGACGAGGAGCAGCAGGGGGACGAGGAGCAGCAGGGGGACGAGGAGCAGCAGGGGGACGAGGAGCAGCAGGGGGACGAGGAGCAGCAGGGGGACGAGGAGCAGCAGGGGGACGAGGAGCAGCAGGGGGACGAGGAGCAGCAGGGGGACGAGGAGCAGCAGGGGGACGAGGAGCAGCAGGGGGACGAGGAGCAGCAGGGGGACGAGGAGCAGCAGGGGGACGAGGAGCAGCAGGGGGACGAGGAGCAGCAGGGGGACGAGGAGCAGCAGGGGACGAGGAGCAGCAGGGGGACGAGGAGCAGCAGGGGGACGAGGAGCAGCAGGGGGACGAGGAGCAGCAGGGGGACGAGGAGCAGCAGGGGGACGAGGAGCAGCAGGGGGACGAGGAGCAGCAGGGGGACGAGGAGCAGCAGGGGGACGAGGAGCAGCAGGGGGACGAGGAGCAGCAGGGGGACGAGGAGCAGCAGGGGGACGAGGAGCAGCAGGGGGACGAGGAGCAGCAGGGGGACGAGGAGCAGCAGGGGACGAGGAGCAGCAGGGGGACGAGGAGCAGCAGGGGGACGAGGAGCAGCAGGGGGACGAGGAGCAGCAGGGGGACGAGGAGCAGCAGGGGACGAGGAGCAGCAGGGGACGAGGAGCAGCAGGGGGACGAGGAGCAGCAGGGGGACGAGGAGCAGCAGGGGGACGAGGAGCAGCAGGGGGACGAGGAGCAGCAGGGGGACGAGGAGCAGCAGGGGGACGAGGAGCAGCAGGGGGACGAGGAGCAGCAGGGGGACGAGGAGCAGCAGGGGGACGAGGAGCAGCAGGGGGACGAGGAGCAGCAGGGGGACGAGGGAGCAGCAGGGGGACGAGGAGCAGCAGGGGGACGAGGAGCAGCAGGGGGACGAGGAGCAGCAGGGGGGACGAGGAGCAGCAGGGGGACGAGGAGCAGCAGGGGGACGAGGAGCAGCAGGGGGACCGAGGAGCAGCAGGGGGACGAGGAGCAGCAGGGGGACGAGGAGCAGCAGGGGGACGAGGAGCAGCAGGGGGACGAGGAGCAGCAGGGGGACGAGGAGCAGCAGGGGGACGAGGAGCAGCAGGGGGACGAGGAGCAGCAGGGGGACGAGGAGCAGCAGGGGGACGAGGAGCAGCAGGGGGACGAGGAGCAGCAGGGGGACGAGGAGCAGCAGGGGGACGAGGAGCAGCAGGGGAGGAGCAGCAGGGGGACGAGGAGCAGCAGGGGGACGAGGAGCAGCAGGGGGACGAGGAGCAGCAGGGGGACGAGGAGCAGCAGGGGGACGAGGAGCAGCAGGGGGACGAGGAGCAGCAGGGGGACGAGGAGCAGCAGGGGGACGAGGAGCAGCAGGGGGACGAGGAGCAGCAGGGGGACGAGGAGCAGCAGGGGGACGAGGAGCAGCAGGGGGACGAGGAGCAGCAGGGGGACGAGGAGCAGCAGGGGGACGAGGAGCAGCAGGGGGACGAGGAGCAGCAGGGGGACGAGGAGCAGCAGGGGGACGAGGAGCAGCAGGGGGACGAGGAGCAGCAGGGGGACGAGGAGCAGCAGGGGGACGAGGAGCAGCAGGGGGACGAGGAGCAGCAGGGGGACGAGGAGCAGCAGGGGGACGAGGAGCAGCAGGGGGACGAGGAGCAGCAGGGGGACGAGGAGCAGCAGGGGGACGAGGAGCAGCAGGGGGACGAGGAGCAGCAGGGGGACGAGGAGCAGCAGGGGGACGAGGAGCAGCAGGGGGACGAGGAGCAGCAGGGGGACGAGGAGCAGCAGGGGGGACGAGGAGCAGCAGGGGGACGAGGAGCAGCAGGGGGACGAGGAGCAGCAGGGGGACGAGGAGCAGCAGGGGGACGAGGAGCAGCAGGGGGACGAGGAGCAGCAGGGGGACGAGGAGCAGCAGGGGGACGAGGAGCCAGCGGGGACGAGGAGCAGCAGGGGGACGAGGAGCAGCAGGGGGACGAGGAGCAGCAGGGGGACGAGGAGCAGCAGGGGGACGAGGAGCAGCAGGGGGACGAGGAGCAGCAGGGGGACGAGGAGCAGCAGGGGGACGAGGAGCAGCAGGGGGACGAGGAGCAGCAGGGGACGAGGAGCAGCAGGGGGACGAGGAGCAGCAGGGGGACGAGGAGCAGCAGGGGGACGAGGAGCAGCAGGGGGACGAGGAGCAGCAGGGGGACGAGGAGCAGCAGGGGGACGAGGAGCAGCAGGGGGACGAGGAGCAGCAGGGGACGAGGAGCAGCAGGGGGACGAGGAGCAGCAGGGGGACGAGGAGCAGCAGGGGGACGAGGAGCAGCAGGGGGACGAGGAGCAGCAGGGGGACGAGGAGCAGCAGGGGGACGAGGAGCAGCAGGGGGACGAGGAGCAGCAGGGGGACGAGGAGCAGCAGGGGGACGAGGAGCAGCAGGGGGACGAGGAGCAGCAGGGGGACGAGGAGCAGCAGGGGGACGAGGAGCAGCAGGGGGACGAGGAGCAGCAGGGGGACGAGGAGCAGCAGGGGGACGAGGAGCAGCAGGGGGACGAGGAGCAGCAGGGGGACGAGGAGCAGCAGGGGGACGAGGAGCAGCAGGGGGACGAGGAGCAGCAGGGGGACGAGGAGCAGCAGGGGGACGAGGAGCAGCAGGGGACGAGGAGCAGCAGGGGGACGAGGAGCAGCAGGGGGACGAGGAGCAGCAGGGGGACGAGGAGCAGCAGGGGGACGAGGAGCAGCAGGGGGACGAGGAGCAGCAGGGGACGAGGAGCAGCAGGGGGACGAGGAGCAGCAGGGGGACGAGGAGCAGCAGGGGGACGAGGAGCAGCAGGGGGACGAGGAGCAGCAGGGGGACGAGGAGCAGCAGGGGGACGAGGAGCAGCAGGGGGACGAGGAGCAGCAGGGGGACGAGGAGCAGCAGGGGGACGAGGAGCAGCAGGGGGACGAGGAGCAGCAGGGGGACGAGGAGCAGCAGGGGGACGAGGAGCAGCAGGGGGACGAGGAGCAGCAGGGGGACGAGGAGCAGCAGGGGGGACGAGGAGCAGCAGGGGGACGAGGAGCAGCAGGGGGACGAGGAGCAGCAGGGGGACGAGGAGCAGCAGGGGGACGAGGAGCAGCAGGGGGACGAGGAGCAGGACGAGGAGCAGGGGGACGAGGAGCAGCAGGGGGACGAGGAGCAGCAGGGGGACGAGGAGCAGCAGGGGGACGAGGAGCAGCAGGGGGACGAGGAGCAGCAGGGGGACGAGGAGCAGCAGGGGGACGAGGAGCAGCAGGGGGACGAGGAGCAGCAGGGGGACGAGGAGCAGCAGGGGGACGAGGAGCAGCAGGGGGACGAGGAGCAGCAGGGGGACGAGGAGCAGCAGGGGACGAGGAGCAGCAGGGGGACGAGGAGCAGCAGGGGGACGAGGAGCAGCAGGGGGACGAGGAGCAGCAGGGGGACGAGGAGCAGCAGGGGGACGAGGAGCAGCAGGGGGACGAGGAGCAGCAGGGGGACGAGGAGCAGCAGGGGGACGAGGAGCAGCAGGGGGACGAGGAGCAGCAGGGGGACGAGGAGCAGCAGGGGGACGAGGAGCAGCAGGGGGACGAGGAGCAGCAGGGGGACGAGGAGCAGCAGGGGGACGAGGAGCAGCAGGGGGACGAGGAGCAGCAGGGGGACGAGGAGCAGCAGGGGGACGAGGAGCAGCAGGGGGACGAGGAGCAGCAGGGGGACGAGGAGCAGCAGGGGGACGAGGAGCAGCAGGGGGACGAGGAGCAGCAGGGGGACGAGGAGCAGCAGGGGACGAGGAGCAGCAGGGGGACGAGGAGCAGCAGGGGGACGAGGAGCAGCAGGGGGACGAGGAGCAGCAGGGGGACGAGGAGCAGCAGGGGGACGAGGAGCAGCAGGGGGACGAGGAGCAGCAGGGGGACGAGGAGCAGCAGGGGGACGAGGAGCAGCAGGGGGACGAGGAGCAGCAGGGGGACGAGGAGCAGCAGGGGGACGAGGAGCAGCAGGGGGACGAGGAGCAGCAGGGGGACGAGGAGCAGCAGGGGGACGAGGAGCAGCAGGGGGACGAGGAGCAGCAGGGGGACGAGGAGCAGCAGGGGGACGAGGAGCAGCAGGGGGACGAGGAGCAGCAGGGGGACGAGGAGCAGCAGGGGGACGAGGAGCAGCAGGGGGACGAGGAGCAGCAGGGGGACGAGGAGCAGCAGGGGGACGAGGAGCAGCAGGGGGACGAGGAGCAGCAGGGGGACGAGGAGCAGCAGGGGGACGAGGAGCAGCAGGGGGACGAGGAGCAGCAGGGGGACGAGGAGCAGCAGGGGGACGAGGAGCAGCAGGGGGACGAGGAGCAGCAGGGGGACGAGGAGCAGCAGGGGGACGAGGAGCAGCAGGGGGACGAGGAGCAGCAGGGGGACGAGGAGCAGCAGGGGGACGAGGAGCAGCAGGGGGACGAGGAGCAGCAGGGGGACGAGGAGCAGCAGGGGGACGAGGAGCAGCAGGGGGACGAGGAGCAGCAGGGGGACGAGGAGCAGCAGGGGACGAGGAGCAGCAGGGGGACGAGGAGCAGCAGGGGGACGAGGAGCAGCAGGGGGACGAGGAGCAGCAGGGGACGAGGAGCAGCAGGGGGACGAGGAGCAGCAGGGGGACGAGGAGCAGCAGGGGGACGAGGAGCAGCAGGGGGACGAGGAGCAGCAGGGGGACGAGGAGCAGCAGGGGGACGAGGAGCAGCAGGGGGACGAGGAGCAGCAGGGGGACGAGGAGCAGCAGGGGGACGAGGAGCAGCAGGGGGACGAGGAGCAGCAGGGGGACGAGGAGCAGCAGGGGGACGAGGAGCAGCAGGGGGACGAGGAGCAGCAGGGGGACGAGGAGCAGCAGGGGGACGAGGAGCAGCAGGGGACGAGGAGCAGCAGGGGGACGAGGAGCAGCAGGGGGACGAGGAGCAGCAGGGGGACGAGGAGCAGCAGGGGGACGAGGAGCAGCAGGGGACGAGGAGCAGCAGGGGGACGAGGAGCAGCAGGGCAGGGGACGAGGAGCAGCAGGGGGACGAGGAGCAGCAGGGGGACGAGGAGCAGCAGGGGGACGAGGAGCAGCAGGGGGACGAGGAGCAGCAGGGGGACGAGGAGCAGCAGGGGACGAGGAGCAGCAGGGGGACGAGGAGCAGCAGGGGGACGAGGAGCAGCAGGGGGACGAGGAGCAGCAGGGGGACGAGGAGCAGCAGGGGGACGAGGAGCAGCAGGGGGACGAGGAGCAGCAGGGGGACGAGGAGCAGCAGGGGGACGAGGAGCAGCAGGGGGACGAGGAGCAGCAGGGGGACGAGGAGCAGCAGGGGGACGAGGAGCAGCAGGGGGACGAGGAGCAGCAGGGGACGAGGAGCAGCAGGGGGACGAGGAGCAGCAGGGGGACGAGGAGCAGCAGGGGGACGAGGAGCAGCAGGGGGACGAGGAGCAGCAGGGGGACGAGGAGCAGCAGGGGGACGAGGAGCAGCAGGGGGAACGAGGAGCAGCAGGGGACGAGGAGCAGCAGGGGGACGAGGAGCAGCAGGGGGACGAGGAGCAGCAGGGGGACGAGGAGCAGCAGGGGGACGAGGAGCAGCAGGGGGACGAGGAGCAGCAGGGGGACGAGGAGCAGCAGGGGGACGAGGAGCAGCAGGGGGACGAGGAGCAGCAGGGGGACGAGGAGCAGCAGGGGGACGAGGAGCAGCAGGGGGACGAGGAGCAGCAGGGGGACGAGGAGCAGCAGGGGGACGAGGAGCAGCAGGGGGACGAGGAGCAGCAGGGGGACGAGGAGCAGCAGGGGGACGAGGAGCAGCAGGGGGACGAGGAGCAGCAGGGGGACGAGGAGCAGCAGGGGGACGAGGAGCAGCAGGGGACGAGGAGCAGCAGGGGGACGAGGAGCAGCAGGGGGACGAGGAGCAGCAGGGGACGAGGAGCAGCAGGGGGACGAGGAGCAGCAGGGGGACGAGGAGCAGCAGGGGACGAGGAGCAGCAGGGGGACGAGGAGCAGCAGGGGGACGAGGAGCAGCAGGGGGACGAGGAGCAGCAGGGGGACGAGGAGCAGCAGGGGGACGAGGAGCAGCAGGGGGACGAGGAGCAGCAGGGGGACGAGGAGCAGCAGGGGACGAGGAGCAGCAGGGGGACGAGGAGCAGCAGGGGGACGAGGAAGCAGCAGGGGACGGGAGCAGCAGGGGGAGCAGCAGGGGGACGAGAGCAGCAGGGGGACGAGGAGCAGCAGGGGGACGAGGAGCAGCAGGGGGACGAGGAGCAGCAGGGGGACGAGGAGCAGCAGGGCGGCGAGGAGCAGCAGGGGACGAGGAGCAGCAGGGGGACGAGGAGCAGCAGGGGACGAGGAGCAGCAGGGGGACGAGGAGCAGCAGGGGGACGAGGAGCAGCAGGGGGACGAGGAGCAGCAGGGGGACGGGAGCAGCAGGGGGACGAGGAGAAGCAGGGGGACGAGGAGCAGCAGGGGGACGAGGAGCAGCAGGGGACGAGGAGCAGCAGGGGGACGAGGAGCAGCAGGGGGACGAGGAGCAGCAGGGGACGAGGAGCAGCAGGGGGACGAGGAGCAGCAGGGGGACGAGGAGCAGCAGGGGGACGAGGAGCAGCAGGGGGACGAGGAGCAGCAGGGGGACGAGGAGCAGCAGGGGGACGAGGAGCAGCAGGGGACGAGGAGCAGCAGGGGGACGAGGAGCAGCAGGGGGACGAAGAGGAGCAGCAGGGGACGAGGAGCAGCAGGGGGACGAGGAGCAGCAGGGGGACGAGGAGCAGCAGGGGGACGAGGAGCAGCAGGGGGACGAGGAGCAGCAGGGGGACGAGGAGCAGCAGGGGGACGAGGAGCAGCAGGGGGACGAGGAGCAGCAGGGGGACGAGGAGCAGCAGGGGGACGAGGAGCAGCAGGGGACGAGGAGCAGGCAGGGGGACGAGGAGCAGCAGGGGGACGAGGAGCAGCAGGGGGACGAGGAGCAGCAGGGGGACGAGGAGCAGCAGGGGGACGAGGAGCAGCAGGGGGACGAGGAGCAGCAGGGGGACGAGGAGCAGCAGGGGGACGAGGAGCAGCAGGGGGACGAGGAGCAGCAGGGGGACGAGGAGCAGCAGGGGGACGAGGAGCAGCAGGGGGACGAGGAGCAGCAGGGGGACGAGGAGCAGCAGGGGGACGAGGAGCAGCAGGGGGGACGAGGAGCAGCAGGGGGACGAGGAGCAGCAGGGGGACGAGGAGCAGCAGGGGGACGAGGAGCAGCAGGGGGACGAGGAGCAGCAGGGGGACGAGGAGCAGCAGGGGGACGAGGAGCAGCAGGGGGACGAGGAGCAGCAGGGGGACGAGGAGCAGCAGGGGGACGAGGAGCAGCAGGGGGACGAGGAGCAGCAGGGGGACGAGGAGCAGCAGGGGGACGAGGAGCAGCAGGGGGACGAGGAGCAGCAGGGGGACGAGGAGCAGCAGGGGGGACGAGGAGCAGCAGGGGGACGAGGAGCAGCAGGGGGACGAGGAGCAGCAGGGGGACGAGGAGCAGCAGGGGGACGAGGAGCAGCAGGGGGACGAGGAGCAGCAGGGGACGAGGAGCAGCAGGGGGACGAGGAGCAGCAGGGGGACGAGGAGCAGCAGGGGGACGAGGAGCAGCAGGGGGACGAGGAGCAGCAGGGGGACGAGGAGCAGCAGGGGGACGAGGAGCAGCAGGGGGACGAGGAGCAGCAGGGGGACGAGGAGCAGCAGGGGGACGAGGAGCAGCAGGGGGACGAGGAGCAGCAGGGGGACGAGGAGCAGCAGGGGGACGAGGAGCAGCAGGGGGACGAGGAGAGCAGCAGGGGGACGAGGAGCAGCAGGGGGACGAGGAGCAGCAGGGGGACGAGGAGCAGCAGGGGGGGACGAGGAGCAGCAGGGGGCCGAGGAGCAGCAGGCGGGACGAGTGAGCAGCAGGGGGACGAGGAGCAGCAGGGGGACGAGGAGCAGCAGGGGGACGAGGAGCAGCAGGGGACGAGGAGCAGCAGGGGGACGAGGAGCAGCAGGGGGACGAGGAGCAGCAGGGGACGAGGAGCAGCAGGGGGACGAGGAGCAGCAGGGGGAGAGGAGCAGCAGGGGGACGAGGAGCAGCAGGGGGACGAGGAGCAGCAGGGGACGAGGAGCAGCAGGGGGACGAGGAGCAGCAGGGGGACGAGGAGCAGCAGGGGGACGAGGAGCAGCAGGGGGACGAGGAGCAGCAGGGGGACGAGGAGCAGCAGGGGTGACGAGGAGCAGCAGGGGGACGAGGAGCAGCAGGGGGACGAGGAGCAGCAGGGGGACGAGGAGCAGCAGGGGACGAGGAGCAGCAGGGGGACGAGGAGCAGCAGGGGGACGAGGAGCAGCAGGGGGACGAGGAGCAGCAGGGGGACGAGGAGCAGCAGGGGGACGAGGAGCAGCAGGGGGACGAGGAGCAGCAGGGGGACGAGGAGCAGCAGGGGGACGAGGAGCAGCAGGGGGACGAGGAGCAGCAGGGGGACGAGGAGCAGCAGGGGGACGAGGAGCAGCAGGGGGACGAGGAGCAGCAGGGGGACGAGGAGCAGCAGGGGGACGAGGAGCAGCAGGGGGACGAGGAGCAGCAGGGGGACGAGGAGCAGCAGGGGGACGAGGAGCAGCAGGGGGACGAGGAGCAGCAGGGGGACGAGGAGCAGCAGGGGGACGAGGAGCAGCAGGGGGACGAGGAGCAGCAGGGGGACGAGGAGCAGCAGGGGGACGAGGAGCAGCAGGGGGACGAGGAGCAGCAGGGGGACGAGGAGCAGCAGGGGGACGAGGAGCAGCAGGGGGACGAGGAGCAGCAGGGGGACGAGGAGCAGCAGGGGGACGAGGAGCAGCAGGGGGACGAGGAGCAGCAGGGGGACGAGGAGCAGCAGGGGGACGAGGAGCAGCAGGGGGACGAGGAGCAGCAGGGGGACGAGGAGCAGCAGGGGGACGAGGAGCAGCAGGGGGACGAGGAGCAGCAGGGGGACGAGGAGCAGCAGGGGGACGAGGAGCAGCAGGGGGACGAGGAGCAGCAGGGGGACGAGGAGCAGCAGGGGGACGAGGAGCAGCAGGGGGACGAGGAGCAGCAGGGGGACGAGGAGCAGCAGGGGGACGAGGAGCAGCAGGGGGACGAGGAGCAGCAGGGGGACGAGGAGCAGCAGGGGGACGAGGAGCAGCAGGGGGACGAGGAGCAGCAGGGGGACGAGGAGCAGCAGGGGGACGAGGAGCAGCAGGGGACGAGGAGCAGCAGGGGGACGAGGAGCAGCAGGGGGACGAGGAGCAGCAGGGGGACGAGGAGCAGCAGGGGGACGAGGAGCAGCAGGGGGACGAGGAGCAGCAGGGGGACGAGGAGCAGCAGGGGGACGAGGAGCAGCAGGGGGACGAGGAGCAGCAGGGGGACGAGGAGCAGCAGGGGGACGAGGAGCAGCAGGGGGACGAGGAGCAGCAGGGGGACGAGGAGCAGCAGGGGGACGAGGAGCAGCAGGGGGACGAGGAGCAGCAGGGGGACGAGGAGCAGCAGGGGGACGAGGAGCAGCAGGGGGACGAGGAGCAGCAGGGGACGAGGAGCAGCAGGGGGACGAGGAGCAGCAGGGGGACGAGGAGCAGCAGGGGGACGAGGGAAGCCAGCAGGGGGACGAGGAGCAGCAGGGGACGAGGAGCAGCAGGGGACGAGGAGCAGCAGGGGGACGAGGAGCAGCAGGGGGACGAGGAGCAGCAGGGGGACGAGGAGCAGCAGGGGGACGAGGAGCAGCAGGGGGACGAGGAGCAGCAGGGGGACGAGGAGCAGCAGGGGGACGAGGAGCAGCAGGGGGGACGAGGAGCAGCAGGGGGACGAGGAGCAGCAGGGGGACGAGGAGCAGCAGGGGGACGAGGAGCAGCAGGGGGACGAGGAGCAGCAGGGGGACGAGGAGCAGCAGGGGGACGAGGAGCAGCAGGGGGACGAGGAGCAGCAGGGGGGACGAGGAGCAGCAGGGGGACGAGGAGCAGCAGGGGGACGAGGAGCAGCAGGGGGACGAGGAGCAGCAGGGGGACGAGGAGCAGCAGGGGGACGAGGAGCAGCAGGGGGACGAGGAGCAGCAGGGGGACGAGGAGCAGCAGGGGGACGAGGAGCAGCAGGGGGACGAGGAGCAGCAGGGGGACGAGGAGCAGCAGGGGGACGAGGAGCAGCAGGGGGACGAGGAGCAGCAGGGGGACGAGGAGCAGCAGGGGGACGAGGAGCAGCAGGGGGACGAGGAGCAGCAGGGGGACGAGGAGCAGCAGGGGGACGAGGAGCAGCAGGGGGACGAGGAGCAGCAGGGGGACGAGGAGCAGCAGGGGGACGAGGAGCAGCAGGGGACGAGGAGCAGCAGGGGGACGAGGAGCAGCAGGGGGACGAGGAGCAGCAGGGGGACGAGGAGCAGCAGGGGGACGAGGAGCAGCAGGGGGACGAGGAGCAGCAGGGGGACGAGGAGCAGCAGGGGGACGAGGAGCAGCAGGGGGACGAGGAGCAGCAGGGGAGAGGAGCACAGGGGGACGAGGAGCAGCAGGGGACGAGGAGCAGCAGGGGACGAGGAGCAGCAGGGGGACGAGGAGCAGCAGGGGGACGAGGAGCAGCAGGGGGACGAGGAGCAGCAGGGGGGACGAGGGCAGCAGGGGGACGAGGAGCAGCAGGGGGACGAGGAGCAGCAGGGGGACGAGGAGCAGCAGGGGGACGAGGAGCAGCAGGGGGACGAGGAGCAGCAGGGGGACGAGGAGCAGCAGGGACGAGGAGCAGCAGGGGGACGAGGAGCAGCAGGGGGACGAGGAGCAGCAGGGGGACGAGGAGCAGCAGGGGGACGAGGAGCAGCAGGGGACGAGGAGCAGCAGGGGGGACGAGGAGCAAGCAGGGGGACGAGGAGCAGCAGGGGGGGGGGACGAGGAGCAGCAGGGGGACGAGGAGCAGCAGGGGGACGAGGAGCAGCAGGGGGACGAGGAGCAGCAGGGGGACGAGAGAGCAGCAGGGGGACGAGGAGCAGCAGGGGGACGAGAGGAGCAGCAGGGGACGAGGAGCAGCAGGGGGACGAGGAGCAGCAGGGGGACGAGGAGCAGCAGGGGGACGAGGAGCAGCAGGGGGACGAGGAGCAGCAGGGGGACGAGGAGCAGCAGGGGGACGAGGAGCAGCAGGGGGACGAGGAGCAGCAGGGGGACGAGGAGCAGCAGGGGGACGAGGAGCAGCAGGGGGACGAGGAGCAGCAGGGGGACGAGGAGCAGCAGGGGACGAGGAGCCGCAGGGGGACGAGGAGCAGCAGGGGGACGAGGAGCAGCAGGGGGACGAGGAGCAGCAGGGGGACGAGGAGCAGCAGGGGACGAGGAGCAGCAGGGGGACGAGGAGCAGCAGGGGGACGAGGAGCAGCAGGGGGACGAGGAGCAGCAGGGGGACGAGGAGCAGCAGGGGGACGAGGAGCAGCAGGGGGACGAGGAGCAGCAGGGGGGACGAGGAGCAGCAGGGGGACGAGGAGCAGCAGGGGGACGAGGAGCAGCAGGGGGACGAGGAGCAGCAGGGGGACGAGGAGCAGCAGGGGGACGAGGAGCAGCAGGGGGACGAGGAGCAGCAGGGGGACGAGGAGCAGCAGGGGGACGAGGAGCAGCAGGGGGACGAGGAGCAGCAGGGGGACGAGGAGCAGCAGGGGGACGAGGAGCAGCAGGGGGACGAGGAGCAGCAGGGGGACGAGGAGCAGCAGGGGGACGAGGAGCAGCAGGGGGACGAGGAGCAGCAGGGGGACGAGGAGCAGCAGGGGGACGAGGAGCAGCAGGGGGACGAGGAGCAGCAGGGGGACGAGGAGCAGCAGGGGGACGAGGAGCAGCAGGGGGACGAGGAGCAGCAGGGGGACGAGGAGCAGCAGGGGGACGAGGAGCAGCAGGGGGACGAGGAGCAGCAGGGGGACGAGGAGCCAGCAGGGGGACGAGGAGCAGCAGGGGGACGAGGAGCAGCAGGGGGACGAGGAGCAGCAGGGGGACGAGGAGCAGCAGGGGGACGAGGAGCAGCAGGGGGACGAGGAGCAGCAGGGGGACGAGGAGCAGCAGGGGGACGAGGAGCAGCAGGGGGACGAGGAGCAGCAGGGGGACGAGGAGCAGCAGGGGGACGAGGAGCAGCAGGGGGACGAGGAGCAGCAGGGGGACGAGGAGCAGCAGGGGGACGAGGAGCAGCAGGGGGACGAGGAGCAGCAGGGGGACGAGGAGCAGCAGGGGGACGAGGAGCAGCAGGGGGACGAGGAGCAGCAGGGGGACGAGGAGCAGCAGGGGGACGAGGAGCAGCAGGGGGACGAGGAGCAGCAGGGGGACGAGGAGCAGCAGGGGGACGAGGAGCAGCAGGGGGACGAGGAGCAGCAGGGGGACGAGGAGCAGCAGGGGGACGAGGAGCAGCAGGGGGACGAGGGAGCAGCAGGGGGACGAGGAGCAGCAGGGGGACGAGGAGCAGCAGGGGACGAGGAGCAGCAGGGGGACGAGGAGCAGCAGGGGGACGAGGAGCAGCAGGGGGACGAGGAGCAGCAGGGGGACGAGGAGCAGCAGGGGGACGAGGAGCAGCAGGGGGACGAGGAGCAGCAGGGGGACGAGGAGCAGCAGGGGGACGAGGAGCAGCAGGGGGACGAGGAGCAGCAGGGGGACGAGGAGCAGCAGGGGGACGAGGAGCAGCAGGGGGACGAGGAGCAGCAGGGGGACGAGGAGCAGCAGGGGGACGAGGAGCAGCAGGGGGACGAGGAGCAGCAGGGGGACGAGGAGCAGCAGGGGGACGAGGAGCAGCAGGGGACGAGGAGCAGCAGGGGGACGAGGAGCAGCAGGGGGACGAGGAGCAGCAGGGGGACGAGGAGCAGCAGGGGGACGAGGAGCAGCAGGGGGACGAGGAGCAGCAGGGGGACGAGGAGCAGCAGGGGGACGAGGAGCAGCAGGGGACGAGGAGCAGCAGGGGGACGAGGAGCAGCAGGGGGGACGAGGAGCAGCAGGGGGACGAGGAGCAGCAGGGGGACGAGGAGCAGCAGGGGGACGAGGAGCAGCAGGGGGACGAGGAGCAGCAGGGGGACGAGGAGCAGCAGGGGGACGAGGAGCAGCAGGGGGACGAGGAGCAGCAGGGGGACGAGGAGCAGCAGGGGGACGAGGAGCAGCAGGGGGACGAGGAGCAGCAGGGGGACGAGGAGCAGCAGGGGGACGAGGAGCAGCAGGGGGACGAGGAGCAGCAGGGGGACGAGGAGCAGCAGGGGGACGAGGAGCAGCAGGGGGACGAGGAGCAGCAGGGGGACGAGGAGCAGCAGGGGGACGAGGAAACGGAGCAGGAGGACGAGCATGAGTCTGCTCCTGTTGCTGAGGTTGATAGCAGTGAGGGCGGAGACGAAGAGCAAGATGATCAGCAGAAGTCTGCTCCTGTTGCTGCAGGTAGTGGCGGTGACCAAAGCAGTGGCGAAGGGTTTGTGGGGGAAAGTTCTGAAGCGCAAGATGCTTGGCAGAATTCTGCCCCTGTTGCTTCTGGCAGTGGTGATGACCAAAGCAGTAGCGACGACCAAAGCAGTGGCGGTGACCAAAGCAGTGGCGGTGACCAAAGCAGTGGCGGTGACCAAAGCAGTGGTGAAGGGGCTATTGGGGGGGATTCGGGAGGTGGTGTGAGTGATGCTGGCAAAGGCAGCAGTGAGATTGAGGATTATGGAGGAAAGGGCGATGAGGAGGGAGGTGGCGTGAGCAATCCTGGCGAAGGCAGCAGCGGGGGTGAGAATAATCAGGGAAAGGGGAATGAGGAGGAGGGGGGTGGATCAGGTGGTGGAGAGGGAGAGGGGAGCAATAACGAGGCAGATCAAGGGCAAGGAAATTCGGAGGTGGGAGGAGGAGAGGAGAGCTGGATGGTGGGATGGGGAGGCAATAAGGATGCGGGTTGGATGGAGGAGTCTGGAGAGACCGATGTGACGGATATTCGTGTCGCTCCGGAATTCAGAAGCAGCCTCAAATCGACTGATGCTAACACACTGACCGGCGTTTCGAAGCTTCTGAAGGATGAGAAGCAGCTGCCATAAGGGCGAAACATAATTAATCCAATACTGTGGGTTGGTGGTTTGATCTATATTTTTATTTGTAGATTCTGTGTTGTGTTTAAGCTCTTGGGAAAGCGTGTAGCTGTAGGTATAGGTTGGGAAAATGCATGTTTGGGCAACAGCCAATCTCTTGCAAGCTCCGGGTTTGATTTGAAGGCACACCGACCAGCTGAAATTTGCGGACGGGGGGGGGGGAGGATGAGGTGGCTTGCCGCTCACCCCAACCGAAGAACAGCCCCGCAACAAAAAGCGTTTCTAAACCAAGCCAACTGCTCCCGATCCGAAACTCGGCTGCCCCTGGATTTGGGAACTTCTTTGAATTTCCGTCCAATCCGTTTGGTGTTGGAAGATTCTTGGCCAGTGAAAATCTCTTCGGGGCTGCCCTGACGACGTGGAGGAAACAAACGGATGGAGAGAAGAGAAAAACACGCCTGCCGTACCGTGCAGAGGTTTCAAATGACTGAGGCGCTTTGTCACTTTTACCTCGCGATGAAATCTGAAGTCTTTTGCTGACCAGGGAAGATCCGTCTGCTGTGAATACCTTGTGCCTAAGGGCATGCTCTGCGCCTTCTCCGCCTTAGGGCGGCCACGGATTTCTTCGCGCGTAGCACGGTTAACATCCTCGATAACATGCCGTCACTATTCCGATGCTTTCATGAACAATGCCTTTAAACTTAACATTGGACAACCAGTCATTTCTGCTGACATTGGTTACTCCTGTTATAAGGCATCTAGCCTCGGTTTCTGTCAGGCACCCTTGGGATTTCATACCTCGCGTCAAGATTCATCGCCAAGCTTATCTTATACAGTCAACAACAATGTCGCTGTATGGCCCCGGATATAGGCGCCGGCCTATTACAGGCGCCGGCGCTTCTATCTGGAGCATGGCGCTTATGGTCGAAACTCGATTATAAGCGCCCCCCCTGGAAAACCATTACTTATTATAAGCGCCCCCCCGTTTTTAATTTAAATCTCAGTTTTAATCGGTAACGAATTTCAGTTTTGCAGCGAGTCAAGATTCATTTTCGCTTCGTTTGACTCGCGAAGACCTGACTGGCTGCGCGTCCAGTCAGGATGTGCTGGCTTGCCTGCAAAGTGACGCGAATCTGCCCGTGTACAGGAAGCAGAATCGCTTGCGCGCGATTCTGCTTTGTGACGCTTTTTTATTTCGACTCGTTTGAAATGGCAACAATGAAAGGTACAGTTTGGTACCTTTAAAGTATAAATTTGTATTTGTGATTATATAAGCGCCGGCGCTTATGGCCGTTACTCAATTACAAGCGCCACCCCTAAAAAATCCGTACTTATTATAAGCGCATATGCGCTTATATCCGGGGCCATACGGTACAACTTCCAAGGTTGAAGTCTCGAGATTTCATCATGAACAACTTCGAGATTACCTGCTCTATGGTCCACTGGATCCTGACAGGGTCAGGAAACAATTTCAAGGCAAAGTGCTCAGTTTCCAGGCATTATTCTTCCTGCTCATCAAGTGTGCTTGGCACACTCTCCTTCAGCCTGACATTTCTCATCACTGCACAATGGCTCACCCGGCGGATGTCTCTGTTTTTCCAAAGGGACAACGTTCTCGGCCGGCTCTTGATCCTCCTCCTACCACGGAGGCTCCTACCTTTCTGCCTGTTCCTCCGTCCGGAAATGCTGCTGGCTCCACGAATACTTCAATGCCTGCAGTCAATGACAATGACAGCGTATCAGCTTCGGCAGCCAGTGTTTCTGGCCCATCTGCAAGTGACAAAGCCAAGATTCCGTCCTTTGGTGCTGCTGATGACGACGGCTTCATGGATGACGACTCAGATGATGAGATGCTGATTGACCTGGTTAAGGAGGCTGGATCCGGTTTGCGCTCGGTTGCCATTCTGCTAATCCCTTTTATGCTGGTCAAAGAGATTTCTTGTGTGATCGATGCTGTAAAAGCCCTGATAAAGCACGGGTGGATTTCAGAGTTGTCAGCTGATGTTGTCAAGACGACCAAGTTTCAGGAGCTTCAGACGGCTTACATCGCCAAGATGCGTTACTGTCGCCTGCAAGTTTCATTCACATTGGAGTCAGATGCAGCACGTGTTCGTCAGAAAGAAGTGATATACCAGTCTCTTAAGGGTCAACTGATCACTCTTCACTGGCAGCATACAGAGGATCCTGTTTTCACCCGCGAGAAGGCAATGAATCCGCACGCCATCGAATTTATGATCAAGGGGGTCTCAGCTGCGGTCGATCTCATCCTGATTCATGACCGCCTTGCTTCTTACCCGTTGAAGAGTACTCAGCGGTCGGCTTTTCAGCGCTTCTCCTGCCTTCATCGCGTGCTCCACTCGGTTACTGGTGCTGACACGGATGTCGAGAAGGGTCTGGTGTATGCTCACCCTGAGAGTCGTAATCGCCGCTGGATCCACGCCATTGCTGACCCTGCGGATCGGTCGAAGCAGCTCTTGATCCATTACGCAACCTTACCCTGCACGCTCTGTGGTGGCAAGCATTATGATAAGTATCATGATGCTTTTATCACTGAGCGTCAGAATAACGTTAGTAAATGGAACCTTACTCTGGGGGGTGTGCACAGGCTCAACGGTAAAAACAGTCTGCTTCTCTTACGCTCCCTGCAACTTCACTTTTTTCCTGTTACTGACCTGTTCTTCGATTCCCACAGCTGCGTCGCTGAAAGCGTCGTCTCTCTTCCTTCCTATTCTTCGAGACCCAGCCATCGCTCTTGTCTCCACCGGCAGCAGCAGGGAAGATTGGATCTGCACACAGGCCGGTTGCGGAAAAGCGAAAGGAAAAAGTCTCATGGCAGCGGCGGCTCACATCAAAGCAGCTACTCACATGCTGGAGCTGGAGAAAGCCGGATCAGCAACGAAGGAGTCTCTCGACAAGCTGAATCTTGCTGTTGTTCGCACAGAGTACGGACTGTGACGGATCATGAGTGGTATCTGGATGCAGCGGCGTGTTGGTGTTTAGGTGTCAGTGTTGCCTGTACCGTCTCATTTCTCAGCCTGTGGATGATAAGGGGCTGCAAGGCAGTGGATCAATGATTAACAAAAACCACCTTACAATCGTGTGCCTGAACGTCAACGGCTTAGGAACAAACAAAACTACAGGATCGGGTAACCAAGTGGATGAAAGATTCAGCGGACATTGCAGTACTGATAGACACTAGGATAGATGACAGACACTCTTTCTGGACGGGACTCACCTCGTACGCAGTCTTAGCCAACCCTCCTAGAGCCAGTGCTGGTGGTGTAGCGGTCCTCTGTAGTGACGACAGTATCACCTTCCATGACACGGAGCTTCACTCTTCGGGTAGAATAGTTAAGACAGTAGTTAAGGGTACTGGACTGGATCTCACACTAGTAGCCGTTTACCTCCCATCGCACACTACTCCTCGCTCCGCTTTTATCAGAGACGCTCTTGGTCCAGTCATTGACAAAGTCCCGCCTTCCTCCCATCTCCTTATCATCGGCGATCTGAACCTGACGGACGATCCAAAGCTGGACAGATCTTCAGGCTCTGGCTCGTCGACTGAAAACGAGAAGCTCCTCTTGCGCTGCACCAACTTCCAACTTTCTGACGCTTTTCGCACTCTGCACCCAAGGGACAGAGAATACACCTTCTACGTGCACTCGCATCGCTGCAGCACTCGCATTGACCGCGCACTTGTCTCACAATCGCTACTAACTGACCTTTCCATCGCCAGGCACGACATGCCGAAGGAGCCTATCTCGGACCATGGCTTCGCGATCCAAGTTGCTTTTCGTCTGGATGAGAAAATCTGCACGGGTCCGGGCATCTGGAGGTTACATGCCTCAATGGTACGGAGGCCGGGGGTGCGGAAGATTATTGACGCTACAGTCTGTCAAAACTAGCAGTAGAAAGTAAGAATGAAGAAAGGAGTAGGTTCACTAGCAGCAGTTGGCATACATATAGGAAACCCTAATTGGGTTGTACTCGCTATAGAGTACCCCACTGCAGGCTAGACAATTATAACATTCTGACACACCCCCATAGCCAAAGTGGGGTGTAATCAGCAGAGCAAGCAGTCATAGAGCAGGTTCACATGCACAAGTAAAGCTAGAGGCAGTCGCAGAGGGCAAGTGAGGAGGAGGAGTGACTGTGAGAGGAGAGGAGATGGGAGGCGACAGTGGAAGATGCAGACACACAGGAGTGGCTGGCTCAGTGGCTACCGAAGCAATGGCCCGGACTACAGGAGTAACTGGCTCCGCGGAGATTGTAGCCTCCTGACAGGAGCAACTGACCCACAGGCGACTGGCGACTACCGGAGATTGTAGCCTCCGGACTACTGGCACTGCTGGCGACACGACTGCTGCCTCCGTTCAACTTCCCCCAACTGTCCCACCCCCTTTCACACACCCCTTGCTGCACCACTAGCTCCACTCCCACGTCACCCCCCTAGCACCACTCCTTCGGCTCCCCACACACACACCCCTCTGAGCGGCAGCTGCAGCAGCGGGAGACGGAGGAGGAGGAGGAGTAGGGGACGGTGCACACAACGGGCACCCCCACAACCGCCACCCCCACACTCCTCACCCCAAAACCCTAAGACGGGTTGCAAGGGGTAGGAGCGCGGGGGGGACGGCGTGCGGCCCCCAGGGCGCCACCACGGGCCAGCAGGGGGCCGCGCGCGGCTCCCCAGGGCGGCGCGACGGGGCAGCGGGGGGTCGCGCGCGGCTCCCCAGGGCAGCGCGACGGGGAATCGGGGGCCGCGCGCGGCTCCCCAGAGCGTCACGACGTGACGACGCGAACGGAGGGGGGGGACGTGCGGCCCCCGTGGCGCCACGACGGGCGACAGAAGGGGGGGGACGCGCGGCCCCCTAGGCGCCTCGACGGGCGACGGGATGGGGGGGACGCGCGGCCCCCGCGACGCCACGACGGGCGACGGGAGAGGGCGCCACGAATGGCGACGGGATGGCGGGGGGGGCGCGCGCGGATCCACCGTGCAGAAAACCGCCGCGCGCCTCGGGGCGCACGGCGGGCAGAAAACCGCCGCGCGCCCCGAGCGCACGGCAGGAAGAAGACGGCGCGCGCCCGAGGCGCACGAGAAGCAGAACAGCAGCGGAAGCAGTTAGGTGGTGGGCCCACCCACAGGATCGACCCAAGGGGGTCGACCTGCTCTGAAACCATGTCAAAACTAGCAGTAGAAAGTAAGAATGAAGAAAAAAGTAGGTTCACTAGCAGCAGTTGGCATACATATAGGAAACCCTAATTGGGTTGTACTCGCTATAGAGTACCCCACTGCAGGCTAGACAATTATAACATTCTGACACAGTCCGCAGAACGCCTGTGAATGACGGCAGCAGCTTTGAACTCCTGATTGCTCGTCTGGGAGCTGGTTTACGGGCGTACGCACGGGAAGAAAATAAACGGGTTAAGAAAACATTGGCTCATCTGGTCAGCAGAGTTGCGTCGCTGAAGCAGGAGTTGATGGGGAACCCTGGTTGCAATGTTACACGAGAAGCGCTGGCAGCTAAGGAGTTACAGCTGAAAGCATATCAGGAGGCTCGAAGAGAGAGATTACACCTACAGGCCGGGTTATCGGAGGAGATGACTGGTGAGATCGCTTCAAAGCACCTGTCTGCAAAGGTCAGGGCTAGGAAAGCCCGTACTCAAATCAAGGAGCTGAAGGAGGGGGGAAACACGGTGACCGGAGTGCAGCAGATTCTTGGTGCCGCGTCGGCTTTTTTCAACAATATCTTCGGCAAGGACCGGCGAACAGACCTCTCGAACTGGATTTTCAATCCAAGCAGGCGTCTGGGAAAAGAAGCAGAAGAGATGTTAATGGCGGAGTGGTCAGAGGAAGAGGTGAAGGTCGCTTTTGTTTCAATGGCGAAGAACAAATCTCCTGGTGGTGACGGTCTTCCGAAGAAACTGTTCGAGTGTCACTGGGACCTGCTAGGGGGGAGTTTCATGGCGATGGTTAAAGATTTTGAGGTGTCAGCTTCTCTTCCAGCAGGACTTAAGGAGGCGGTCACAATCCTGCTGCATAAGAAGGGGGATCGGGACCATTTGAACAACTACCGGCCCATCACCCTCCTCAATTTCACATACAAGGTGCTAGCTAAGGTCCTGGCGGATCGGATGAAGCGGATTCTGCATCAAGTCATCTCACCTGAGCAGTGCGGGTCCCTTCCAGGAAGGCGCCTGTCGGATGCAGTTGCGCTGGTCGCTGATATTCTAGATGTGGCGAAGAACGAACAGGCCGACTGGTACATGTTGCTGGTTGATTTCCAAAAGGCCTTCGACTCGGTGTCGAGGGACTTCCTTTTCCAAGTGCTTCGGAAGATGGGATTCCCGGAGCGGTACGTAGGCTGGATTGAAGGCCTGCATGAGAACACCACAACGAAGCTCCTGGTCAATGGCTGGCTCGGTGAAGGGTTAAACGTGGTCTCGGGGGTCAGGCAAGGCTGCCCGCTTGCACCTTACCTATTCTTGTGTGCGGTGGAGCCGTTGGCTCAGGAAGTGGAGAGGGAGAGGCTGGGGCTCAGCAAGGACGGGCAGCAGCTCGGCTATCTCGAGTACGCTGATGACACGACGTTAATCATGCAGGGGAAAGAGCAGATTGTCAAAGCGGAGGAAATTCTGGATAACTTTGAGAAAGTGGCGGGGCTGGCTACGAACAAAGGAAAATCGGTGATTTTACCGTTGGGTGCGAACATCAGAGCTGTGGCTGATGGCACGTCTAACTTCAATTGGGCGGGAGCAGAGGATGCCGAGCGCCTGTTGGGGGTGTGGGTGACTCCTTCTGGTAACGGTCAGAAAACATGGGAAAAGTATCTGACTACAGCCGCACGAGCAACCGTGGTGAACTACTACATTACACCACTGATTGCTTTTCAGGCCCAAGTCTTCCCGCCACCTGCAAGCATCTGGGAGGACTTGGTGCGGATGTTACACGGGTTTACATCTGGAAACAGAGTGTCAACGGTGAAAGGTTTTTTTCTCTGGAGCAAAGTGTTGCTGTACACCGAGAGAGCAGCGGGTGGAATCGGTGTGAGGGAACCTGAGATTGTTATTACCTGCTTGGCAGCGCGAAGGGCGGGGCTGTACATCACGGAAAGCAACATACTCAAAAAGGACCTGATGATGCGGGCGGCGAAGCTTCCTTTGGGAACGGACTCCTTTGCAGCGCACGAGAAATTATTCAAACACTGGGAAGGTGGCAGCGTCCGGTGGAAGCAGACATGCGAGAGCCTCGCTGGCTCGCCGCTGTGTTTGCGTGCCCCGGCCACATCGAGGAATGAAATTCTTCAGGAGCGGGTGGTTTTCAATAAGAATATTCTGTTACGTGGCACCACACCTATCGGCGGTCAGAAGGACGCCTGGAAGCTGTGGGACCTGCGGCTGGAGGATCTGTTCACAAGCAGTGAAGCAGGAGTGCTTGTGCAGAAATCTGTGGCAGAACTAACGGAGCTTCTGGGCAGCAACGGTCCGGCGAAGCTAGCGCTGAAGGCAGTAGGCTCTCTACCTGCCGGGTGGTACAGAGAGTTAGGGTTTCCAACTATCCTTCCCTGCTCGGCTGCTGAATGTCCTGGTGGATGGGGGCATCATCCCCATGAAGCGGATGAGAGAAGGGTGGAAAGAGGCTCAGAAGGAGTCATACAAGCGAGCCAAGTGGGCGGCAAGATGGGGCGAGAGCATCAACTGGAAGAAGGTTGTGAGCACGCGCGACTCTTTGGCGGTCCCCAGCCGTCCGCGTGATGTGCTCACACGCATCCACGGCCTGAATCTGCAGGTGGGAGAACGTCTGGCTTTCCTCAGCAGCAAGCCGGTTTGCCCATACTGCGGAGAGCCGGAGACACTGGAACATTGCCTGGTCCTCTGCCCCAGAGTTCAAGTGGTCTCCACAGCTCTTCGGCGCGCTCTGGGCATGTTAAATCCTGGCCGCACAGCAGACTCGTTGGGGGCTCTTCTGTTTCGGGATACCGGTACCAGCTCAGCTTTTCCGGAGCTGACGCTAACATCAATCGCTTTGCACCAATTGTGGCTCGAGCGGTGCGAAGCTGTCTTCAGAGGGCAGAAATTCCGGTCCCAACGAGTCCTACGTCGGATTGAGGTGGCTTTTCGGCAGCACGTAAAACTGCACACTCACAAGTTCGGGCCGACGTGGCGAAAACAGAGGCAGCGTGGTTCATCGGAGGAGTGGAACATGCTTGAAAGGATCAAAGTGGATGGCAAAGGTCTGAAGTGGACGAATGGTTTTGCAGCAATCTGGTCGGCAAGGAGGGTCAGGAGCATCAGACCCTAGAATTTTATCTGGAGCAAGAGGTCCCCTCTAGTTCCTCACGCACGGTTACGACCGTTCTTGTCAGTATATGCTTGTCTTGTCGGTGTATACTTACAATTATAAAAAAAAAAAAAAAAAAATTTACCTCGCGATGGTGCTGCCAAACCGTTCCAGAATTCCCTTTACACATTGAAACCACCCCGCAGCTCAGTAATATTCATTTTGTGTAAATCCATCCACTCCATTTTGCTGCCTAGATTTATGATCAGTTTAGAAAGACGTAACAGTTTTTGTAGAATAAATCCATTAGTACGTAGTTTCCTGGAGCGACGTGCGTTACTGTTCGATTCTTGTCCAGGAACCCCGATCCGGAAAAGCAAACCTATGATCTCGCGCCAGTTTCGCCGTGAGCTTCGTAACACGCACTCGGCGCGCAACGCAATGGCTGGCAAATCTCCGTCAATGGCGCCCGCCGTCGTCGCGGCCCTGCTCGTGGCTTCCTTCGGAGCGCATCTCGCGCCGAGAGCAGCGGCACAGACATGCGTCGCGTCGATGATCGACGGATACGACGTCTCGGTGCCACTCGGCGACACGTGAGTTCATCTAGGGACACCCATTTTACCCGTGTTACTGATTTCGCTCATGATTTCGCTCATTTAGCTCCCGCTGATTATGCGTCGCTTTTCGGGGCGCCGCGAATAACATAGCGGGGTGCGTCGAATCGAATCAATGCATCGCGTCGCGTTGCTTCCCTTGTATTACGTTTACACAGTGGTGCTTCCGCGGGCCGCTCCGTAACATCGCTCCCATTCTACAACACTATTGCATTGGTATTTGTGGTAGAGACAGGCGCGGACTCTTCGCAAGAACCAATTACAACAAGTTAGCGTTCAAAGGAAACAAGGGTTTCGGACCCGGACGCTAAACAAGTTAGCGTAGATACATAATAAAACCGCCAGATTACTACAATCGAGGTTCCAGCAGGAATCTGCTGCCAACGCAGCTTGACCTATATTACGTGGCCAACCCTGCCACGTGGAAATTGCCAAGAATTCTGCAGTCTCCGCGATTGGCCAGTCTCCATGCCCCCCGATGTTATGTTGAACCAGCCCAAGTGTTGAGTGTCTTTCGAGTCGACTCAAAAGTCGCCCCCCAGGTGAAATGTTGAACCAGCCCCAGTGTTGAGTGTCTTTTGAGTCGACTCAAAGTCGCCCCCCAGGTGTTATGTTGAACCCAGCCCCAGTGTTCAGTGTCTTAGGGTTGCACGCTCATTCCCCCTTGTGCTTCTCCATGCGCTCTTTCTATAGAATTCAAGATATTTTCCCCTCCCTCTAACCCTCCCCCTTCCCCTCTTTCTTCCCCTCTCCCTCCCCCTCCCCCTCCCCTTCCCCTTCCCCTCCCCCTCCCTCCATCCCTCCCTCCCTCACTCCCTCCCTCCCTCTCTCCCTCCCTCTCTCCCCCCTTCTCCCCAACCACGCCCGCCCCCAGCCTCATTCTCCACTGGATGACACCCACCTCAACCACTCTCAACCTACTCCTCGAGACCACCGCGACTGGCTGGGCGGCAGTGGGGTGGTCAGCGGACGGCAGAATGGCCGGCAGTGACGCGGTGGTGGGCAACACGGGCAACCCAGCCACCGTGCAAGCGTACACGCTCAATAACAACTCACTTCCTCCCTTCCCCCGTCCCTCTCTCCCTCCCTCTCTCCCCCCTTCCCCGCAAACCACGCCCGCCCCCAGTCTCATTCTCCACTGGAAGACACCCACCTCAACCACTCTCAACCTCCTCCTCGAGACCACCGCGCTTGGCTGGGCGGCAGTGGGGTGGTCGGCGGACGGCAGAATGGTCGGCAGTGACGCGGTGGTGGGCAACACGGGCAACCCACCCACCGTGCAAGCGTACGCGCTCAATTCCAAGCTACCCGGCGGTCAGAACCCGGCGACTTCTTTCGAGGTTGGCGACACGTCTGTGACTGAGAATGGCGTCTCGACTTACATCAAGTGAGTGCGGGGTTGGTGAGACGAGTTTTGAGGCACCTCAAGAACGGCGGCTCGAATTACATCAAGTAGGGGGGGGGGGGTTAAGACAAATTTTTAGGCGCCGCAAGAATTGCGCATCTAGTAAGTGGGGGGTTGGTGAGCGTAACTGACACAAGAACACAGTGCATGTTAGAATGGTCGTGATGATAGCGATGGTGAAGCGTCATCGGGACGAAAAACCAAAGCTAAAACACCAAAGCTGTAACACCTCAACTGCTACACCAAACGAATAACACCCCGTTGCAGCATCGAGCAGGGGTGCAATTTGCGCACACATCTCTGTAGTAACTGTTACGAATCGCTCTTGCGTTTCTCGACTTGTCTGGCTGCAGATTCTCGCGCACCGAGGGTACAGGGGACGTGCCTGTGAAGCTGACCGGCGCCTCTGCAATCATCTATGCTTCCTGTGCAGACAGCTCCATCTCCTTTCTCTACCACGGCCCCTACAGGTAACCAATCTGAACCGCAGTGCTCCTTCCCGTGAGTATCTTCACCTGCTGGAGCTCCCCTTTGGCTTTGCTAAATCATCACCATACAATGTGTAATTCAGTGAATTCCCGCTGTCCGAATCTGCTCACTAGCGTGTGTGTTTTTTGCTGGCTTCAGGGGATCGGCGGTTGTCGATTTCTCCTGCAAGGTGGAAGGAGCAACACCTGCCGCCACACCACCGGCCACACCCCCCTCAGCCTCGCCGCCCCCCACTGGCAGCGCCAGTTCCCCACCACCCCCTTCATCCACGCCAGCACAGCCAACACCCACCACTTCTCCTCCACCACCGCCCAAGGCAGGGGGCTTGGCTGTTGATCGTGCACACTGGCTAGTTCCTGTGGCTTTGATCGCTGGGCTCCTTCCTTATCTGGTGGGCATGGCTTGAGGCAGTGGGTGGATTATCAATGAAGTGCCTTTACTGCATAATTGTTTATTGTGTTGTACCCTGATTTTGAGATTTCCATATGCAAATATTATTGTGAGAGACTGAGTCAAGATATGCACCACTTGGAGAATGATAAGTTGACCACACAGCTTATAACATGTGTAGTGCTGGTCTTATTGTACCGTAACAAGATCTGATTGACTGGGCTCGAGAAATCAATTCGGCCATATCATTTTCAAACTGTCTGCATAAACCCAGCAAGAACGTCTTGTACCCGTTTTCTCATATCATAATCGAGCAAGTTTGTAAAGGAGCCATCCTGCGCCTTGAGGCTGACGCTTCGTCGTAACGCAAAACCAGCCGTCCCGCCAAATCCATTTCCGAGGAAAGCTTGGGATATTTCCGTCCAATCATAAAACACGGGGCTACTGTTATCTAGGTTTCTTATTTCTTCAGATCCCCTGCTCGCTCGCTGCACCTCCTAACGTTGTCCTCTTTTTCTCCCACACCATCTGTCTATTGGTCACCAGAGAGAGTAATCGGTGGTGATTGAGACTGTTTTTCTGCGGTTAGTGATGGAGTGCCTTTTCCGAGCAAGATCAGCAGCCTGCAAGCTGTTCTGAGAGAGGGAGAACTGTGTTCTAGCTACATTGACATTACTTTCCCCCGTCGTAGAATCTCGAATTACTGTCTGATATCTTAGTTCTATCTCAGTTCTCTGTCTGATCTGGCAACCCTCGTTAACCGTTTTCGTTCAGGCCCAGTCCGGACTCCACTCTTTCCTCAGATCGCTCCTGCCGTCGCTCTCGCTAATGTTTTAGATCTCACTCTCTCAATCATTGCCGGAGATATAGTCGCAAATCAAGTACTGCGTACATCGAAGGAGTGCAAGCTTGCCCACTCTCGTTCTGCCGCTCTCTCCTACTCTCCGGATTTCGCGCTTAGCGACTAGCAGCATCCATGGCGTCGCGAGATTCCGCCTCGGTGTCCGCCTACCTTCGCGAGTTCTGTCAGTACCTCGCGAGCCGCAACCTCTGGCCGCGAACCCGCGCGGAGCTAGGCACGGCCCACCAGCAGTTCGCTCTGTCGCCTGGCAGAACTGTCGTTTTACCGAATCAGCTGGTGTTTTTCCTTTTATCGAAGCACTCTATGGCGATCTTCCAGCAAAACGCCGTGACCTGGCGGGAGAGGTCAGGCGCTCCGGTCAGAGCGCGGAACGCGGTGCCTCTACTTGCGAAAACACCTGTGAGCCAGGATCGGCGCTGCGGGATCTGTGATGTCACCTGCCCAAACCCCTGGCAGTTGCAGAAGCACCTGACGGGAAGACGACACTACGCCACATTGCAGAGGAGCAAGGCAGGAGGGAAATTTCACTGTCCGACGTGTGAGATTTTATTCGATTTCTTCCATCAGCTGGAGGCGCACTGCTCGTCGGATACGACTCACAAGGCGCGCGTAGCTGCCAGGAAGCTTCGCGATCAGCGTGACTATGTCCAGCGGGGGAAATATGGCATCGATATAAGCTACCCGTTTGCGTCACTGCAGCAGCCTTCAGCAGCAGCAGCATCAGCAGCAGGAGGAAGCGCCCAGACCCAGCTTGTGAAAATAGATCTAGGATCCACTCTAGAAGGCTTCGTTACTATCACAAACCGACACAGTGAAGCCCAGCTGCTGACCTCCTGCAAGCTCGCAGGTGAAAACCCAGACATCAAATTCGGCTTCTCAGGCTACTCCATCGGGTCAGGCGAAGCAGTCCCGAGAAATGGGTTCCTTGTTCGCCCAAACGAAGTGTACACGCTCACCCTGAGGATCAAACCCTCGTCTGTCGGCGTTCTTAAAGCCATCCTGGTGTTCAATTTCAAGAATTTTCTGATCGGACGGTATTTGAATGTCCTGGTAGAAGACCAGGTGACGAAATCCATGGCTCCCACGGCGCCCTTCGAGCCGCAGCAGCGGAAATCGCGGCAGGAGGAGGAGCCGCCTGCTGAAATCCTGCCAGGTGTCGAACCCGAGGGGTGGAAACGCACCGGCGAGCAACTGGCTAAAATCCCCTGGTTCGGAATTCCAGAGTGGGTGAGGGAGACGTATGAAGGGATGCATCACGCTGAGATGCAGTTACCAGGGTTTGAAGGCCCTGTGACGCTAGACACGTACAAGAAGCGGTTTGAGCTGCTGTTGCATGTGGAAGAGCTTCAAATGGAGGCGGACATTCGTTACTATGACATGAAGGGAGTGACTGTGCTGCCGTGCGGGAGTCGAAATGTGAGCGAGTTTTACCAGCTGACGGTGCCTGGGCTGGCGGAGAAACGCCCGTCCGTGCTGCTTGGCGATCGGGTGTATCTGACGTTTGCGAACGAGGCGGGAGCAAGGAGGCGGATTGAGTATCAGGTATGCTGGAGGTGCAATGATAGTATCAGGTGTGTTGGAGGCGCATTGAGATTATCAAGTGCTATGAGTAATAGTATTATAGGTAGGTTTGTTGTGGGTTGCTGCAAGGCGAGGGGGGAGGGGGGGGGAGGGGGGGGAAGGGAAGCTTGCCAGCTATTACCAGTTGACGGTGCCGGGGGTGGCTGAGAAACGCCCGTCTGTGCTGATTGGCGACCGGGTGTATCTGACTTCCAGCGAACGAGACGGGAGGGCGGAGGCGGATTGAGTACCAGGTGTGTTGGGGAGCTTGATATTTTCAGCTGACTGTGCCAGGGCTGGAGAGGGAGAGTGCACTGCTGCGCTTCCACCCAGACTTCCACTGTCCACAGGGAGGGACTTACTTGCATCCAATCTGCTTCGCTCTAATTTTGCTTTCTCGCAGGGCTTCGTGCATAGGGTGGAGAGGGAGAGTGCGCTGCTGCGCTTCCTCCCGGACTTGCATCATCACTATGTTCCTTCCCCCATGGAATCCAATCCTGCATTCCGCTCCCCCCTCGCAAGGCTTCGTGCATAGGGTGGAGGGGGAGAGTGCGCTGCTGCTCCTCCACCCCGACTTCCACGCTCACCACTTGCCTCGAGTCGATTCTCGTTCCTTTTTCTCTTATTCCATCCTCCCCGGGCTTCGTGCACAGGGTGGAGAAGGGGAGCGCTATGCTGCACTTTCATCCGACTTTCACTCCGACTTTCATCCCGACTTTCATCCCGACTTTCACTCCGACTTTCATCCCGACTTTCATCCCGACTTTCATCCTGACTTTCACCCCGACTTTCACCCACCAACACTTACCCTGAGCCGATCCCCCATGTTTCTTCCCCTCTCCCCTCCTGCAGGGCTTCGTACACAGGGTGGAGAGGGAGAGTTCTATCCTGCGTTTCCACCCCGACTTTCACTCGTCACCACTTGCCCTGAGCCAATTCACATTCACTTTTTTTCTGTTCCTTCCTCACAGGGCTACGTGCACAGGGTGGAGAAGGAGAGTACTATCCTGCGCTTCCAACCCGACTTTCACCCTGACTTTCACCCACCAACACTTACCCTGAGCCGATCCCCCATGTTTCTTCCTCTCGCCCCTCCTCCAGGGCTTCGTGCACAGGGTGGAGAGTGAGAGTGCTATTCTGCGCTTCCACCCCGACTTCCATCACCACTTGGCTGACGTACTCACACTTATCCTCTCTCAATCCGTTCCCCTCCCAGGGATTCGTGCATAGAGTGGAGAGGGAGAGCGCCATCCTGCGCTTCCACCCTGATTTCCACCGCCGATTCATCCCCGGCCAGCTCTTCAACGTGCGCTTCGAGGTGCCCCGCAGCCCAGTCAGAGCGTGCCACCTGGCGCTGGGCCTCGCAAACCGGCACCTGGGGCAGCACGTGCTGATGCCTTCAGAAATTCCCCAGCGGCTCTTCAGCATTGGTGGGTGTGTGGTTCAGTGGGTGAGTCAGTGGGTTAGTCTCTGTGTTGGTTGGGACACCAGATGAGGAATTTGCTGATGGTGGGGCAGTTACGTGCTGTTGCCTTCAAATATTCCCCAGAGGCTCTTCAAATCGGTGGGTGGGTGAGTGGGTGGGTGGGTCAGTGGGTTGGTTCGCGCATCAGACGAATGAATTTTCCGGTGGTGAGGTAGTACGTACTGATGCCTTCAGAGATTCCCCCCCAGAGGTTCTTCAGCATTGGTGGTTGGTGCATGGGTGGGTGGGTAGATGGGTGGGTGAATGGGGCATAAAAAGGCAGACATCGGTGGGATTTGGACATTGGTAAGTGTCTGATGCACGGTGGTGGGGCATGCTGATGCCGTCAGATATGTTGGAGTGACTTTTGAGAATTCTCAAAAGTCACTGATGCCGTCAGAGATCCCTCTCAGACGCTCTTCAGCATCGGTGCATGGGTGAGTGGGTGGATGGGGCATAGACAGACATGGGTGGGTAATGGGCGTTGGTTGATCACCTGTGCAGGTTTCTGGGGTAGCACGTGCTGATGAAATCCCTGCCATTCGTCCCTTTGATCGCCAGCTGAACGTGGAGCAGAGGGATACAGTGGCGCAGCAGTTGGTGCGCTCACCACTCCCAGTCCACCCCTTCCCTTCTCCTTGCTCCCATGCCCTTCCCAGAAATCCCCGCCATTCGTCCCTTTGATCGCCAGCTGAACGTGGAGCAACGAGAAGCAGTGGCACAGCTGCTGGTGCGCTGTCTTGAAACCCTTGGGTCTTCACTCATATCTCTTCCCCCATTGAACTCCCTCTCTCCGCACCAGAAATCCCCGCCGTCCGCCCCTTTGATCGCCAGCTGAACGTGGAGCAACGAGAAGCAGTGGCACAGCTGCTGGTGCGCTCTCGCCTGCAGCTGGGCGCACGGCCCGAGCCCTACCTCCCTCCCTACATCGTCTTTGGTCCCCCTGGCACCGGCAAGACCAAGACGGTCGTTGAAGCTATCTTACAGGCAAGTGCTTCTGCTGCTGACTCTAGGCGTGGAAGTGTGAAGCACAGCTGCTGCTGCGCTCACGAGGTGACTTTTGAGTCGACTCAAAAGTCTTCTGCTGCTGACTCTAGGCGTGGAAGTTTCAAGCACAGCTGCTGCTGCGCTCACGCCGGCAGCTGAGCGCCCGAACCGAGCCGTACCTCCTCCCTTTACATCATCTCCACATCGTGTTTGGGCTGCCTGGCACTGGCAAGACCAAGTCCGTTGTAGAGGCAATCTTGCAGATGGGCTTTTGGCTTGACAGTGATTTTTGCTCTCTCAGGGGGCTTTCAGTCAGTCTTTAGAGACTCTTTCATTTATCATTCCCTCTTTCAATACTTTTTTGTCCGACAGGCCAGGCACCTTCCTATCCACGTGTGTGCTTGTGTCTTGTTAGTGCGATAATGTTCAGCACCCAATGAGCCCCGTACGTCCCTTCAACAGGTGGTGAAGGGGATGCCCTCAGCGCGTGTGCTCGTGTGTGCTCGTGTGTGCTCGTGTGTGCTTGTGTCTTGTTAGTGCGATAATGTTCAGCACCCAATGAGCCCCGTACGTCCCTTCAACAGGTGGTGAAGGGGATGCCCTCAGCGCGTGTGCTCGTGTGTGCTCGTGTGTGCTTGTGTCTTGTTAGTGCGATAATGTTCAGCACCCAATGAGCCCCGTACGCCCCTCATTGGATGAACCGATAATGTCCAATAGGTGGTGAAGGGAACGCCCTCTTCTCGTGTGCTCGTGGTGTGCTTGTGTCTTGTTACTTCGGTATTTTTTAGCACCCAATCAAACCCGTACGTCCCCCCAACAGGTGGTGAAGGGGATGCCCTCGGCACGTGTGCTTGTGTGTGCGCCGTCCAACAGCGCCACTGACAACATCGCACTCCTCCTCAAAGGCAACCTGCAGGTCTGAGCCTAACATGCGCTGCGAGGTTTTTTAAGGTGTTGCGAGGTGTGGTGAGTTGTTGTGAGGTGCGGCAAGCACTCTGTGCTGTGTGAGATGGTATCCCACCATGTGCGTATGTGCGCCGTCCAACAGCGCCATTGACAATTGTACTGCACCTCAAAGGCAACCTGCAGGTCCGTAGTGTCTTCCTATGTGCTGTACGGTACCGTCAGGTGCCGTCAGGTGCTGTCAGGTGCTGTGAGGCATGGGGAAGTACTGGTCTAGCCCTCAGCGTGTGTGCTTGTGTGTGCGCCATCCAACAGCGCCACTGACAACATTGCATTCCGCCTCAAAGGCAACCTGCAGATAGGTTGATTCTTGAATGTGAGCGGTGCTGTGAGATCCTGTGAGGTGCTGTGTGGTAATACGAGGTGCCCCAACCCACCCTCGTGTTGCTTTACCCCCCTCCACTCCACATGCGCGAGATGCTGCGCCTCTACTCTGTGAGCCGTGGGCGGGGCGAGGTGGAAACCAACCTGCTGCCCTTCATTTGCGCTCTCTCCCCAACACACCCCCATGTTGAATCCCCCTTTCCCCCTCCACGCCAGGTGCGCGAGATGCTGCGCCTTTACTCCGTGAGCCGTGGTCGGGACGAGGTGGACACAGGACCTGCTACCCTTCACTCGCTACGACGATGCCACAGGAACCTTCCGCCTGCCGTCCCTCTCTGAGATCCACACCGCTCGGGTCGTGGCTGTCACCTGCTGCTCCGCTGCCCTGCTGTATCGCATGGGTATGCTTCTTACTGGGCTACCTGGGTTCAAATGTAGTAGTGACAGGCTGTTCCCCGTCTTCTCTGCCTTGTCTCTGCTCTCTGAGATCCACGCTTTTGTAGAAGAGGCAGGCCATGCCATGGAGCTCTGGACTGTGAGGGGTGCACTCATACTTCATCTTTCACATCTTTCCCCGTTCTCTCCCCAGGTGTCCCCAGAGGCACCTTCACACATTTACATTGACGAGGCAGGCCATGCCATCGAGCCGGAGGGCATTATCCCTATCGCTTGCCACTGCCTCATCCCTGTCACTTTCTCTTCCTTCTTTTATGTACCCGACCCAACAGGTGTTCCTCGAGGCACCTTCACGCACATTTATATAGACTATGCAGGCCATGCCATCGAGCTGGAGGGTATGCCATTAATCAGGTGTGATGCCATGGCATGGCTGGGCATCATCTAGATCACTCTCTCTTCCTCCTTCCCTGCAACCCACCCACAGGCGTCCCTCGAGGCACTTTCACTCACATTTTCATTGACGAGGCAGGCCATGCCATCGAGCCGGAGGGTATGCCATTAATCAGGTGTGATGCCATGGCATGGCTGGGCATCATCTAGATCATTTTGTTTGAGATTGATTTTGAGAATTCTCAAAATCAATCTCTCTTCCTCCTTCCCTGCAACCCACCCACAGGCGTCCCCAGAGGCACCTTCACGCACATCTTTATAGACGAGGCAGGCCATGCCATCGAGCCGGAGGGAATCATCCCAATCGCATGCCACGCCGCGCCACATGCCGTGATCCTATTGGCCGGCGACCACAAGCAGCTGGGCCCAGTCGTGCGCTCCCTCGCCGCCCGGAAGTACAAGCTCCCCTGCTCGTACCTCGAGCGGCTGGCAAGCCTTGGCATTTACTCGGCGGAGGATCAGGAAGATGGGAGTTACATTGGTTACAACACGAGCGCGATCACGAAGCTAGTCAAGAACTACCGGTCGCACCCGAAAATTTTGGAGCTGCCCAACGAAATGTTTTACGAGGGGGAGCTGGAGGCTTGTGCGGACGAGATGGCCCGATCTTCGCTCTGCCGGTGGGACGAGCTGCCCAACAAAAACGAATTCCCGATAATTTTCCACGGGGTGATGGGGAAGGATGAGAGGGAGGGCAACAGCCCTTCGTTTTTCAACCCGACCGAAGCAAGCGTGGTTCTTAAATACATTACGTCTTTAATGGGCTACAGGAGCCAGCGGGTTCCATTGACTGACATTGGGGTGGTTACCCCGTATCGGAAGCAGATGCAGAAGATGCAGCAGCTGCTGCGAGGGAAGGGGATGGATGCAGTGAAGGTGGGGAGTGTGGAGGAGTTTCAGGGGCAGGAGAGGCGGGTTGTGATTGTATCGACTGTGAGATCGAGCCAGCAGTTTGTGGAGTTCGATTATAAGCACAATCTGGGGTTCCTGGCGAACCCGAAGCGGTTCAATGTGGCTGTAACGAGGGCCAAGCAGCTGCTTATTATTGTGGGCAACCCCAACCTCCTGGCTCAGGTGGGCGAGGTTCTGCTGCTCCAGGTGAAACGTCTTTGAGATGTCTCATTTTGAGGCGCCTCAAAACTATACGTCTTTGAGATGTCTCATTTTGAGGCGCCTCAAAACTATACGTCTTTGAGATGTCTCATTTTGAGGCGCCTCAAAACTATACGTCTTTGAGATGTCTCATTTTGAGGCGCCTCAAAACTATACGTCTTTGAGATGTCTCATTTTGAGGCGCCTCAAAACTATACGTCTTTGAGATGTCTCATTTTGAGGCGCCTCAAAACTATACGTCTTTGAGATGTCTCATTTTAAGGCGCCTCAAAACTATACGTCTTTGAGATGTCTCATCACGAGGGTGCTGTCTTCATAAATCAGCTTTCTCTCTTTTAAGTGGATAGGATGTCAGCAGCTGCTTATCATTGTGGGCAACCCCAACCTCCTGGCTCAGGTGGGCTTTAATGCTTCAGGTCAATATGCTGCTTCAGGTGAATATTCTTCTTCAGGTGAATCTGCTGCTTCAGGTCAATCTGCTGTTCTGTTTCAGGTCAATCTGCTGCTATAGGTGAATATGCTTCTTCAGATGAATATCCTACTTCCGGCGAATTTGCTGCTTCACATGAATCCGGTTCTTCAGGCAAATCCTTCCTCTCTCTCTCCCACCCGCCCCACCTCTTTGCTTCTCTCTTCCAGGATCGCTGCTGGGGTGCTCTGCTGCAGTACTGCCGCAGAAACAAGGCCTACACAGGGTGCCCCCTCCCCGCCTCCATCCCTCCCCCCGACCTCCCGTCTGGGTCGCAACCTGGGGGATCCGTTACAAGCTCCTCCTCTACTACCACCAGCACCACCTTTGGTGGCCCCACTATATCTTCTGGCAGTGGCAGTACCACCAGCATCACCAGCAGCAGCACTGCCGGCGGCAATAGCGGCGGCAGCGGCGGCGGCGGCACGAGAGGCACCGTCAGCAGCACTGGTGCGACCCAGGAGCTGCTGGATTCGCTCGCCAGGCTGTCGCTGCAGGAGGATGACGATGCTGACAGCGCGCGTGCTGGCGCTGAGTCAGCGCGTGCGCTGGGTGGGTTTTCAGCTGCTACTGCTCATGAGGACCTGGAATGGCGGGTTGAGGCGTGAAGATGTGGGGGCATGAGGTTGAGAGGTGAAGGCATTTGGTTGGCTCATGAGGACCTGGAGTGGCGTGTTGAGGCATGAGGGTGGGAAGGGCGTGGAGGCAAATTATATTGTCAGCATAGCAGGTTGTGGGACTGTCTCATATTACCTAACCTTTTTTATTTTCAATGTGGGAGGTCACAGGGAGTTGCATTACTAGTTTGCAATGAGCTTTAAATTCGGAGAGGAAATGTTCAAGTGCTAGTCGCGCGAAGCATTGTGCATGTGCATTTTCTCTCCAAGCTTTTGACCAGCCATCCATCTCCGATCTCCCCATACAAAGGCAGATCACCTGTCCCCATCATTCTACAGTCTACACAATGCAGAGGGGCATCGCATGATTTTCTGAGTCGCCTCGCCTATAAGGAAGTCACCACAACAGCCAGGAACGGTTTACAAGGCAAGGCAGAGCACAGCCAGAACAACTGCCAGTACTGCTGCTAGCCGACTGCCTGTTTGAATTAGAGGGCTTGCTGCCTTGCCCGTGCATGAGAAGTCCACCAGTGCTGATCCCCTGCATGTGGAGCAAATAAAAACAAACAGATACAGCACTGAATTAGATTCCTGTAGGTTTGCACTTGCTGCCTTGCCGGTGCATGAGAAGTCCACCAGTGCTGATCCCCTGCACGTGGAGCGAGAGAGATGTGGAATGTGGGACATGACACATGGAAGTTGAGTCGAATGTAAGGAGTCCACCTGCACTGTCACAGCACAGCATCTTACACCACCAGCACCGCAGATCACCACACAATATCGCACAGCACAGCACATACTTGTTTTCCCCGTGGAAGCCGAACTCTGAAGACCCAGGAGGGGCAGAATAGGCCCAGATGAGCGTGTCGGCACCACACAGTCACCACAGCACAGGACCATACATCACCGCACATCACTGCACAGGACAGCACAGCACATACTTGTTTCCCCCGTGGAAGCCAAGCTCTGTCGAGCCAGGATAGGCACAATAGGCCCAGATGAGCGTGTCGGCACCACACAGTCACCACAGCACAGGACCATACATCACCGCACATCACTGCACAGGACAGCACAGCACATACTTGTTTCCCCCGTGGAAGCCAAGCTCTGTCGAGCCAGGATAGGCACAATAGGCCCAGATGAGCGCGTTGGCACCACACGATCAGGGCAGCACAGCACATCACATCACAGCACCACACAGCACATCACCGCGCATGACAGCACAGCACAGCACAGCACAGCACAGCACAGCACAGCCCAGCACAGCACATACTTGTTTCCCCCGTGAAAGCCGAGCTCTGACGAGCCAGGATCGGCAGAGTAGGCCCAGATGAGCGTGTTGGCGCCTGTCGGGTCGAATCTCACCGTGCCATCGTCCACCCGCCGGGAGAACCTGGAGAAAGCGAGGGAAGGGAAAAGCGGGGGAAAGGGACGTGAGTGCTGGGGACTGATTGAAGCCTGTGGGATCAAAACGCACCGCGCCATCATCTACCCGACGGGAAAACCTGCAGTCGTGAGGGGAGAGCAAGGGAAGTGCGGGTGGGTGGAGCCGGAGAGGCAGGGTAACGTAGCAAACCTGGGCGAGGGTGTTAGTTGAGCGTTTCGGCGCCTGCGGGGGTCAAAGCGAGCCGTGCCATTGTCGACAGGCCGGGAGCATCTCAGTAGTGAGGGGATGGGAGGTCTTGTCCTGCCATCGTCCACCAGCCTGCTTCACATCCACGAAGTAGTGTCCTGGCAGGTGCAGCGGAACGATGTTGCTGGGGTACCCCCGCCATGTTCCCCACCTCCTCGAGTACTTGTCCTGGCAGGTGCAGCGGAACGATGTTGCTGGGGTACCCCCGCCATGTTCCCCACCTCCGCATTCCCCTCGTTCCCCCTTCCCCCTTCCCCCCCCCCCCTCCTCTCTCCTCTCCCTCCCGTTGCCCTACTCATCTGGCCACTACTTGACACTCGATCATGCAAAGGGATTCGAACGCTCAGAGGCACTCACTTGATGACGAACAAGCCAGTAGGGCCCTGCTCCAGAACCGTCCTGCCCAGTTGATGACAAACTAACGGCCACTCCATTCCCTTCCACAGTAATGGCTCATCTGGCCACCACTTGAGACTCACTTGATGACGAACGAGCCAGTAGTGCCCTGCTCCAGGACCGTCCTGCCCAGATCATACCCCGCCGGCTTCACATCCGCGAAGTTTCGCCCCGCCAGGTACAGCGCGACCACTCTGCTGGGGTAATTATCGACGTTCCCGACCACCGCGTCGCTGCGGGACATGCGGCCGTCACCCGACCACCCGACGGAGATCCACCCCTTCTGCGCGCCTGAGAGCGCCACGGCCTGCAGCGCCATGTCCGTCACCCGGCCGACCTGCGGCTTCCAGTGCAAAATGAGACTGGCGGGTGGGGGGAAAGGAGGGAAAAGGGGGTGGGATGCGGTGGGAGGTGAGACCCGTGCGCCCGCCGTCGCCCGACCACCCCACGGCGATCCACCCCTCCTGTGCGCCCGAGAGCGCCACGGCTTGTAGCGCTATCTCTGTCACCAGGCCGACCTGCGGCTTCCAGATGAAGCTGGCGGAGGAGGGGAAGGGGGAAAAGGGAGGGGGGGGGAAGGGGAGGGGGAGGGGGGAAAGGGAAGTTGGGATGGGGTGCGCTGGTACGTGAGTGTCAGGCATCGCCCGACCACCCGACGGAGATCCACCCCTTCTGCGCGCCTGAGAGCGCCACGGCCTGCAGCGCCATGTATGTCACCCGGCCGACCTGCGGCTTCCAGTGCAAAATGAGACTGGCGGGTGGGGAGTGTATGAGAGGGTGGGGGACGACGAGGAATGGGGAAAACGAAGGGGGAAGGGGGGGGAGGAGTAGGGGGGAGGGGGACGGGGGGGGGGGGGGGGGGGGGGAAGAAGGGGGAAGGAGGGGTGAGGGGGAGGAGCTGACACGTGATGAAAAGCCGAAAGGCGGAAAGCGGTGGAGCGACGTTACGACGCGGTGTAAGTGGTGTAAGCGAGCGAGGGGCACAACGACGACGCGGTATAGCGGTGTAAGGGAGCGACACGACGACCCGGCGCGCGTACCCGTCGCCGAGTTGCACGGCGTAAGCGTAGCCGAAGAGCGACGAGTTCGTGCATGGCAGCGACGATGCGAGCTTTCTTCGCGCGATCGCCGGCGGCGCGGATCGCTCATCCTCCTCGTGCGTGCGAGAGCGGAACGGAGACACTACTCTGAGGGAAAAAGCCGTTGCTCGTGGCTGGTGCGGCGACGCGAAGCTATACGTCACGAGCAGCACCAGGGCTGGTAATAAGGAGTAAGGTCCCGCGCAGGCTCGACAAGACAGAGGTGACGCCATGACGAGACGATAGTGCCTGGGAAAGTGATCGACACGCGTCTGAAGGGTGACAAAACTCCTAGTATAACCACACCACGCTGATCGACTTTCGCGCAGTCAGCTACTCGGCGCACGAGAGATTCTTATCTTACGCTTTGTTAGCACGCAACTCGAAATTATACGTGCAGCTTCTGATAACTCATCCAGCAATTTTCATGGTCGACTGTGATGTGATCTACTGCTGTGCAGACCAGCTATCGTCTCTAACTAGACTAATAAACTAGAGGTCCGTTTGGCAACGAACATGGCTGGGAAGGGAAGCCGCGGTTCGGCGATCTTAGATGTGACAATACCGATGTCGGCAAATAACACCGAGCCACCGACGCCCTCCGATCTCATCCTCTAGTTCGTCAATCTCGTGGTTCGCTCCCATTCGCTTGCAGGTCTGAAGCGCATGCGGCTCGACCTCAGTTCGTGGGAGACGTGTTCAGTCTGCGGTTCTGTTCCGAAGCTGAAATGGTCGGGTGCGAATCAGTCTCAACCAATAGAGAGGCGTTTTGTGTGTGACGAAGTCGGCCCGCGTAGGTTCAGCACGAGCTTCGTGGGGTTTACTGTGCGGACCAAGTGATGATCCGTAATGGGGAACGTGGCGGAGCCCCTCGTTCGTTGGCTGGGAGTGCTGGTGGAGAAACTCGCATAATGGATTATGGAACACGGTACACTTCGAACAAGCTATACATTCAATATTTGGTAGAGAATAACACTCTCGTGTTTCGCTAACGGGAGCTCGCCATATGTTATTAACATGCCTCAAACACATGTAGTATACACCAATACCTCCACACATACATTAGCTGCTCACATCTTCACCACAGAATGGTCAGCGCCCTCTGGTTTGACTGGTATCTGCCACAGCATTTCCCAGATGGGACAGCCCTTCCCAAGCCAATGACAGTCAGCAATTTGCTTCATTGGAGAGGGTTACCACACGGTAGAGAGAGCTCAGCGGTCGGTGACTAGTCCAAGATCATTGTCCGTTTGTCCACGTTATCCCGAAAACCCCAAGCCATTTCACTCTGCGAGACCGATATCCACCGCAGCATCGATCGTACGGGCACGCGCGAGCCACGCCAGCCTGGAACAAAGAAAGCCGAAAGAAATTCTCATCGAAGCCTAGTCAATTCTTCCATTCACCGAGCCGCGCGCGTATAAAATGGACAAACCAATCCAACACTTTCATCCCATGCCACAATTCCAACCATTTCGTTCGCCACATCCACCTCCCTTGTCAAACCTGAACTCGATTCCACTCCCCCTTCTGAATAGTTCACCATCACCACCCAGAATTGGTTTTTGCGATTTTCCCCCCCAAACTCCACGATTCTTGCCAAACTGAGCGTTGAGGCTCACAGAGACGTCAGAGTCAAGTTGTTTGATTGGAGCTACTAAAGCCGTTCTTTTGTCTCTGCTACAACGATGCGGCGACTCCTAGATCTCAGCCGTGTACACTTCATCGTCGCCGTGTTAGTTGTGCTGTCATCTAGTGGCGCGGCATGGGCGGCGGCGTGCCAGAGCTCCTCGCTCACGGGATTTACCAGCTCCGTCGACCTCTCGGGTAACGGGTAGGTGGCGAAATCCTCCGCAAAACAAGAAACTCTTCGCCGATGTACGTTCCCCATGCATCCCCAATTGTCCGAGCAGAAAACCCGTTTTCGCTAGATTCGCGCTTTTTTTGTCCAGCCATCATTACCGTATAGAATACATAATCTCCATGATCGGCATTGAAACAATGCCATCGGTTTTACAATTAAACATTTTTTTCCATCATGTGCTGTTCCGTAACTCCTGGATCGCGGCTCGCAGTCTCGTGCTTCACTGGGCTGCGCTGGACGGCAGCGCGCAGACGGCGCTGCAGATGGCGCTCGAAGCGAAGGCGGGAAGCGGCGCGGAGAGCGGGTGGATCTCCGCCGGGTGGTCCGCGGACGGGCGCATGTACCCCGCGGACTGCGTGATTGGAAACCTGCCCGGCGGAAGCATGGGCGCGTATTACATGAGCGGGTACGGCGATTCTGACGTGGCGCCGACCAGCAGCTTCGCCCTCGGTTCTGCCGAGATGCTGACGTCTAACGGCGGGACTGTCATGAAGTGAGTAATTCGCGCTGTGATGATATAGTTCGTCTGCCTTTGAAATTATGTGCTTGTTTATGCGCTGAAATTAAGTGGTGAAGTTTTTGTTACACTCTAGTCATTGTTCGTTTTATTGCATTGTACTGTATGCTGTACAGTGACTGTCCTGCTTCGCTAAAACTTGTTCACAGCTAGCAACTCTGTCTTTCTTACAGGCGTCTCGAAGCTAGGTCACGAGTTAATCTCCGCAATACTAGGCAACGACCAACATTTTCGCGAATGAGTCACGGCATATCTTCAATCCAGATTTCCGATTCACAATCTGTCATTCCGCGCATTTCGACTCTTCTCCATTCGCGACGCATTTTTGCTGCAACTGACGCGATGATTTCGCGTTCGGTCTATCTCCACCCGTTGTCGCCACCACGGCAGGTTCTCCCGCGCGAGCGGCGACGGCGGCGCCATACCCGTGGACGTGGCGGGGGTGAACACGGTCATCTGGGCCTACTCGCAGTCCGGCTCCACCGCGCTCGGCTTCCACGGCCGCAACGAGTGCGTTTCTCGGATCCTTCCTCATTCTTTATGCTCATAAACTTTCATTCGCTATATGAAATCAGTAGACAGCGTTCGCCTCCCAGTCGGGGTGAACACGGTCATCTGGGCCTACATCTTAGCCGGGCCGGCTCCACCGCGCTCAACTTCCACGGCCGCAACGAGTGAGTGCTTCCCACGCCATTTGTTTCGTTTCAAATGGATTTTTGCCTCTCTCTTTTTTCTGTCAGCGGGAGCGACGCCTTTAGCTGCACCCCCCTACCGAGGCGTTCCGGCTTGAAGATATCGCAGGTCCGTGCCTTCATTCATGCCCGTCCTCTCTTTCCTCTCGCTCCTGTCGCCCAATCTTCTCTCTCTTCCTTTCTCTCTTCCAATTCAAGAGCGGAGCCACGTCGGTGGATTTTTCCTGCGTTGGTGCTGCTGCTGCTACCAACTCCACAGCGGGGAGCGGTGTTGGGGGCAGCAATGGGAGCAACGCGACAACAGGCAGTGGCTCAGGCGGCAGCAGTGGCAGTACCAACTCCACCACGGGCAGCGGAACGGGCAGCGGAACGGGCAGCGGAACGGGCAGCAGTGGCAGTGGGAGCACCACCAACAGCACGATTCCTGCTCCTCCCTCTACCCCTCCTTATAACGAATCGTTCCCCTTCCCACCGGACTCTAACGGGTTCGTGAGTGGCCCTCCCCACCACGAGGGTGACCAGGGAGACCATGAGCATGGGAACGAGCATGAGAATGAGCACGGTGGTGAGCAGGAAGGGGGTGAGTGGGGAGACGGAGAGGAGTGGGCGCAGTGGGGAAACGGAGAGGGGGAGCGTGAGGGGGGGAGGGGAGACGGAGGGGAGGGAGGCGAAGAATGGGAAGGAGGGGAGGGAGGGGAAGGAGGCGAAGGAGCAGGAGAGGGAGGTGGGTCTGGTGCAGCATCAGCTTGCCAGGCTTCGTCCCTTTCCGGATACGAGCACTCTGTGACTCTAACGAACGGGCTTGTCCTTCACTGGACGCTCGTTAGTGGCACCACAACCAGCACCACACCTACCACCACCAGCAGCACTGCCAGCAGCAGCAACAGCAGCAGCAGTGACAATAACGGGGGGAGGGCGCAGCTGCGACTGGCCTTGGAAGCACAGCAGGGCAGCGGGGCAGAGAACGGTTGGATCTCCATCGGCTGGTCAATGGACGGTCGGATGGCCCCCGCTGATGCTGTCATCGGGAACCTTCCAGGAGGCGAGGTTGCTGCGTACGCCATGACTGGTTACCAGATGTCCGATGTTGCGGTTACCAACAACTTTTTGGTCATTGAAGCGAGTACTGAGGCAGCTAGTAACAGAGCGACTGTGGTGAAGTTTACCCGGACGGAAGGGGACGGGGGACTGGTCCCGGTGGATTTTACTGGGGTAAATACCCTCGTGTGGGCTTTTTCGGAGTCGGGCTCGCAAGCACTAGACTTCCACAGCCGCAACGAGTGAGTCAATTTGCTGGTTACCGCATTGTTACAGACCTGCTGCTTACCACACAGCTGATTTTTGCGAACGGCTTGTTCCAACTCAACAACCTTCCTCTGCAGTTCTCATTCGCCCTTCCAACTAACTTCCCTCGGTATCTGTTCTGTTGTTGTCACCCCCATTGTTGTCTCCCCCGTTATTGTCACATGTGCTTCAGTGGATCGGTCCAGGTGGATTTCACTTGCTCCACTGCTGCCACCCGCAACAACACCTCTGCATCAACTCAGGGCGATGACAGCCAATCACTGGGTGCCACGTCAGCAGCAGAATCCAGCGGCGGCAGCAGCAGCAGTAGCAGTGCGTGCAAGGCGTCATCCCTGGCCGGATATTACTGCATGGTGCAGCTCAGTGGCGACAAGTGAGTACCCAGGGCCGTGTGGGGTAGATGAGTGAGTGAGTGAGTGGTCAACTGTTGAGACGTCTCACAAGCAGCAGTGCGTGCAAAGCATCTTCCCTGACTGGATATGACTGCATGGTGCAGCTCAGCGGCAACAAGTGAGTGGTCACTGCTCAGGGCCGTGTGGGGCAGTAGGGTGAGTCAGTGAGTGAGTGAGTGAGTGAGAGTGAGTGAGTGAGTGAGTGGGTGAGTGGGTGGGTGGTCTGTATGAGTTGTCTCACAAGCAGCAGTGCGTGCAAGGCGTCGTCCCTGGCCGGATATGACTGCATGGTGCAACTCAACGGCAACAAGTGAGTGCTACGGGCATGTCACATGGGGTGGGGCAGGAAGGTGCATGGGGCATGGGGCATGGATAGCAGCAGCAGCATCACTCATTCTCCCCCATCGCCCCCTTCTCCCATCCCCACAGTTTCATTCTTCACTGGACGACCAACAGCACCAGCACCATCGCATTAGCAGCAGAGGCAGCAACGAGCGGGTGGGTCTCGCTTGGCTGGTCTGCCACTGGTCGCATGTCCCCCGCTGAAGCCGCCATTGGCAACCTCCCCGCTGGCACTCTCTCTACCGGGAATGCTGCTGCAACAGCCGTGGGGGCGTATTCAATGACCGGTTATGGCGCCAGCGACGTCGCGGTTACGGGGTCGTTTGCGGTTACCAACACGGCTGTGGAGACGGGCAACGGGCGGACGGTGATCAAGTTTGAGCGGTCGATGAACGACGGGGAGTTCCCTATGAGCAGCAGTGCTGTCATCTGGGCTTACTCGCGGGATAACTCGCAGCAACTGGCCGACCACGGGCCCAATGCGTGAGTTTAATGCCATCACGCGTTCACTCCGTACCGATTCTCATGCCTCGGCGCCTCAAAAAAACATGCCATGCTGCACTTTCATACAGCATTCCCATGCCGCATTCCCATGCCGCATTCCCATGCCGCATTCCCATGCCGCATTCCTATGGCTCCCTTTCCTCTTACCTTGTTCTCCTCCCATGGTGCCCTCCCCTCCTCTCCCATGGCGCCCTTCCCTCCTCTCTCTCCCATCCTGGCCCCCTCCCTTCTCATCCCCGTTATCAGAGGCTCTGCTACAGTCAACTTTGCAACGGGAGCATCAGAGGTCGGCGACTCAAGCAGCAGCAGCGCTACACTCTACACCGTGCATGCATGGCTGCTCACAGTCGCCTTTGGCATGCTCATGCCCTCTGCCATCCTTCTTTTCAATAGCCACCCCTCTTCTCTCCTCCCCTCCTTCTTTCCCGCCCTCCCTCTCTCCCTTCCTCGCTCCCTTCTTTTCTCCCTTCTTCTCTCCCTCCCCCTTCTCCTTGAGCAGTGGCTCTGCTACAATCAACTTTGCAACAGGAGCGTCAGAGGTGGGGGAGGGGAGCAGCAGCAGCGCTACACTCTACACCGTGCATGCATGGCTGCTCACAGTCGCCTTTGGCATGCTCATGCCCGCTGCCATCCTTCTTTTCAATAGCCACCCCTCTTCTCTCCTCCCCTCCTTCTTTCCCGCCCTCCCTCTCTCCCTTCCTCGCTCCCTTCTTTTCTCCCTTCTTCTCTCCCTCCCCCTTCTCCTTGAGCAGTGGCTCTGCTACAATCAACTTTGCAACAGGAGCATCAGAGGTGGGGGAGGGGAGCAGCAGCAGCGCTACACTCTACACCGTGCATGCATGGCTGCTCACAGTCGCCTTTGGCATGCTCATGCCCGCTGCCATCCTTCTTTTCAATAGCCACCCCTCTTCTCTCCTCCCCTCCTTCTTTCCCGCCCTCCCTCTCTCTCTTCCTCGCTCCCTTCTTTTCTCCCTTCTTCTCTCCCTCCCCCTTCTCCTTGAGCAGTGGCTCTGCTACAATCAACTTTGCAACAGAAGCGTCAGAGGTGGGGGAGGGGAGCAGCAGCAGCGCTACACTCTACACCGTGCATGCATGGCTGCTCACAGTCGCCTTTGGCATGCTCATGCCCGCTGCCATCCTTGTATCGAGGCTCTTCCTAGCGGATAAGCCCATGCCCGTGCACTCTACTGCCACTGGCGCTGCAAGTAACCCCGGTGCAAGTAACGGCAGCGCAGCAGCAGCAGGCACAGCAGCGGCAGGGGGGTTGGGGGAGCCGATGCTTGTCGAGAAGCACGGTGGGGCAGCAGGAGCAGCAGAGGGGGGAGGCAGTCCCCTTAAAGGCAGTCTCCCCAGCGGCGTGATGGCAGAAGATGCACCGGCTCTTGTTGCTCTCTCCGTCGGCGGACCATCTGCAGCAGCAGCAGGAGGAGGAGGAGGAGCAGGGTCGGGCACAGCAGGAGGTGCAGCAGCAGCAACAGGGGGAGCAGTTTCCAAGAAGCCATGGGTGAGCAAGCCCATGGCATTCGAGGTGCACAAGTGGCTTATGCTGTCTGCCGTGCTGCTCGCCCTCGCTGGAATCATCATGGCGTTCGTGGAAAGGGGGTCGCAATCATTGCAGTCAACGCATGGACAGCTTGGATTGGCCGTCATGGTGCTGATTGTTGTGCAGCCAATCGTGGGGCAGTTGAGGCCGCTCAAGAAACATCCCAGCCGTCCATCCTGGTTTGCGCTGCATTGGGTGATTGGGGTCGGAACAGTGGCGATCGCGTGGGTTAACACGTACCTGGGGTTCGATCTTGCCACCTCCAAGTTCGGTTACGACCTCGATGTGAGGTTTTTTTCATGTTATTTTAACCTTTTTTGCTTTTGTTTTTGTTTCTTTGTCCATATGAACCTTCAACCTTCTTCATTCCACCCATACCTCCTTCCTAACACTTCACAGCCAGGCTGTCGGTAACTCATGCTTGCCCTCTCCCATTCCCTCCCTCCCTTGCCCTCCCTCTCCTTTCCCTTCCCCGCCATTTGCCCTTTTCCCCATTTCACCATTTTCCCTCCCTCCTTGACAGTGGTCCTACATCGCGTTCTCCATTCTGATTGGGTTGTTCTCTGCGGTCTATGTATTCGACTTTGTGCTGGACCAAGTCAACTTTTGTTGTGAGAGAATTGAGAAAGACAAGCCACGGGTTCCGGCAAAATCTGTCGAGATAGTGTAGGCTTATTGCTGTTTTGTTGTCTCTATTTTGGTGTTGTGCTTTAGGTTGTTGCCTTTCATCAATTCTGTATTAGCTGTGTGTAATGATGTTTGGTTTCTTAGCTTTAGCTGTAATGACATTAATGCCGCATATATTAAAAGGATTGCCTTTTAACGAGGGATGAGCGGGCAGCCTTGTGTGTGTGCTGTTTGGGGTGTCGCCTCGCCACTATGCATGGCACAACACCCAATCCCATATATCGGCCAGTGTCGCTATTGCGTCAAGCTCTATTCCTTGTTGCTCAACCTTGGGCTTGAGTCCGCTCCGCTCTCGCTCAATCTGTCGCGGAGCAAGGCGATGGACCAAGAAAAGGAGAAGGTACGATGGCAGAAGAGCGCGCGGTGGCTTTTTCATAGTCGGCATTAAAAGCCGCGCGTGTACACGAAAACGATGTGACGCTGGACCAAAGAAATGGGAAAGGTACGGTGGAACCTATGTCTGAGGCGCCTTAGAAACAGACAAGTACGTCGCAGGGCATACACGATAGCATCCACGAGAGTCAGTTAGACCACGCTGCGACGTGCTCGCTGCGACGCGCTTTCTGCGACGCGCTTTCTGTGACGCGCTTTCTGCGACGTGCTTTCTGTGACGTGCTTCTGCGACCTGCATTATGCGACGTGCTTGTCGCGGGTATACTTTGAGTATTAATGTGGTAGCGGAGTGCTTAACGCAATACCTTTCGAGACGAATCTATAGACAACGTGGCGACGCGACTCATCCCTGTGCACTTCCTGGCTTTCCCGTGCCGCGCTGCTGCTCACCGCGTCTCCTTGCCGTTCCTTCCGTCGGCTGTATAACCTCGTTTATTAGGCTCCCGCGCTTTGCCCTGCTTTTTTCCGTCTCTCCGTTCCGCGCGTAAAGAAAAGCTTCTAAGAGAGCCTTATTTTCTGTTCTAGTTCTTCCCCTTGCGCCGCGTTTCAGTTTGAAAGCTTTCTGTGCAAGTTTACGCTTCTAGTTTCCCCCGTCTCTCCCCTTCGTCTGTACGAGCTTCCCCTGCCACCCTCCGCCTCCCCTCACCCCAACCCTCCCGCACCCCCACCTCTCCCCTTCCGCTCCGCTCCTCCCGTCTCTCGCTGCTGCCAGTCGGAGAATCTTCTGAGCAAGCTCGGCGGGATGCTTTCTTTCGGAGGGAAGCCGAAGAAGACTCACCAGAGGTGAGGCGTGAGGTGCGCGAGTGGAGAGGGAGGAGTGAGAAGGGTATCATGGGGGCGTGCTGCTACGTGTATGAAGATTGGTTTTGAGACGTCTCAAAACCAATCTTCATACAGAGGTGAGGCGTGAGGTCCGCGAGTGGAGAGGGAGGAGTGAGAAGGGTATCATGGGGGCGTGCTGCTACGTGTATGAAGATTGGTTTTGAGACGTCTCAAAACCAATCTTCATACAGAGGTGAGGCGTGAGGTGCGCGAGTGGAGAGGGAGGAGTGAGAAGGGTATCATGGGGGCGTGCTGCTTGGGGAAAGCGGAGAAGGTCGTAATAATTGTCAAAACACCCAGCCCTCCACCTCCCGCCCTCCCCATGCACGGCAGGCAAGGCAAGGCATCCGTCAGACGGTGTGACAGACGACGACAAGGCGTTGGACCATCGGTCAGACATCGCGACGGGGATCAGCAGCCCTGCAGACAGCGGCGAGGAGATGCATGCGTGAGGCTCAATCTGCCCTCCCCTCTCCCTGCTCTCACCCCTCAGCCAAAACCAGGCGCTGGACCATCTGTCAGACGACTTGATGGCGCTCACCAGCAGAGTGAAGCAGGCCAACAAGCGCGCTCTCCCACTGGCCCTCATTTCCTGTCCTCCTCCCGGCCCTCTCCCCTTCTCCCTCACTACCCGCCACCCCCCAGCCAAAGCCAGGCGCTGGACCATCTGTCAGACGACTTGACAGCGCTCAACGACAGATTGAAGCAGGACAGCAAGCGTGCTGCCGATCTGTCACACATCTGCTCGATCAGCTAGCTGAGCCACCTCCAGGACCCACCACCCGAGCCACCTCCAGGGCCCACCACCCGAGCCACCTCCAGGGCCCACCGCCCGAGCCACCTCCAGGGCCCACCACCCGAGCCACCTCCACTACCCGAGCCACCTCCAGGGCCCACCACCCGAGCCACCTCCAGGGCCCACCACCCGAGCCACCTCCAGGGCCCACTACCCGAGCCACCTCCAGGGCCCACTACCCGAGCCACCTCCAGGGCCCACCACCCGAGCCACCTCCAGGGCCCACCACCCGAGCCACCTCCAGGGCCCACCACCTGAGCCACCTCCAGGGCCCACTACCCGAGCCACCTCCAGGGCCCACCACCCGAGCCACCTCCAGGGCCCACCACCCGAGCCAGCTAGCCCAGCCTAAGTCTGCAGCTGCTTGAGCCTTCAGCTTGTCAAATGATTGCCATCTCCCCCTTGGCTTGGAAGTCCTCAAGAGGTGAGGCGCCTCAATAGTCTCTCTCTCGCTTCCTGCACATGTGGTGGTTGTGGCTCTCTGCCTGCTGGTGCTTCCTGCTGTTGCCCTGCATCTCCCCTCTTGTTGATCCTGTTGCTGCTGCAGCAGCTGCTACTCTCTTTCTCCTGCTGTATAGCTGTGGTTTGCTGTGTGCTGCAAGTGCTGATTGAATCATTGAACGCTCCTGCAGTGATTTATCCCTTGCTGAAGCTTCTATATAATTTTTACTTCCCCCGTTGCCCCTTATTGCTGCTTTGTTTTGTTGACACTCGCTAGTGCTGTGCATATTACTTATTATTGCACTTTTTACAGTAACATTCTCCCAAGGGAGGAGCTTTGACTGAGGGAGGGAGCACGTGAGCGTGAGTGAGTGAGCGAGTGAGAAAGAGAGTGAGAGAGTGGGTGAGGGGGTGAGTGAGCAAGGGAAGCGCAGCAGCTATCGCTGCAGCTCTCTCTCCCAGCCATCCTCTCCCTTGAGCAGTGTGAGCAGCAGCAGCATAAGAGGAAAATGCAATGTTGGTGAATGAATCATTACTAGGCCGTATTGACTTCTATAGCGGGGATATGAGCGGGGCAGGATGGTTTTGATTATGTGATGTTGACACGCCTCGGTCGGTTTCCGCTGGTCCTCCATGAACAGTTTGCGCTGTCGAGAGCGCCGCTGTCGTTTTCGTCTAGCTCCGATACAGTCAAACCCGCGTCGTCGTCCGTAATCTCAACAACCCAATCCAATCGGAAACGAGGACCAATGATCGGTAAACTTGACTCGCTCCGCCCTTCCTCCCCCCCCTCCAGCTGCCACCTCCTTGCGCGGAGCTCTCTCGGGCAGCGAAAGAGAGGTGTGCATTTCCGCGTGCGCTCCCACACAGCTGGTTGCGGAGAGACCCCCCATATAATTTGAGCCGTCCTCCGCAGCCCGCACCTAGAGAACTGCCCCGCCCGCCTGTCCTTTTCCCAGCAGAATCTCTGCGCCCAACGGTCTTCTTCCCCCTCCTCCCCAACCTTCTTCCCCACGCCCCCCCAAAGATGCTCGTTCCGTTCCGTCCCGCTCCTCGTTTCCTTGAAGTTTGTTTTCAACCTTCAACCGTCAACATCAGCACAAGTGCTCGGCACGGCACATCACAACACAACACCAGCTTCAAACCTCCAGTGTCTTGTCTCGTGTCACGTTCTTTTCGCATTGCTCGCTTCCGGTCTTGAGTCCGCTCTGCTCTCGTTCGCGTTGTCGCTGAAAAATATTAGCTGCGAGCGCCGTGCGAGTTTGCGGCAGAGGTCGAATTCTGAGGCTCGCTTAATTAGTCGGGAACACGGGTTGAAAGTAAAAGGTTAAACCAAGAGGTTGAAACTATGGCGCGTCGCAACACGGGTAAGCCAGTCATCGAAGACGAAGATGACGATTGGGGTTCCAACGCCAAGTGGGTTCCCCCCTCCCAGCGCGCCGCAACCGGCGGCGGTGGCGAGCAGACGCTTAAGGACCTCGAGGACGAGGCGCTGCAGAAAAATAGCGAGTTAACGGACGCGACTCTTAATCTCCGACGAATCACGGAGCAGACGAAGGGCGTCGCGGGACAGACGCTGGTGACGCTGAAGGAGCAAGGCGACCAGATCGCGCGTATACACGAAAACGCCGTTACGCTGGACCAAGAAATGGAGAAGGTACGGTGCTCGTTGCAGCGTGCTCGTAGCGGTAACATTCGAGTGGACTTGAGAGACAACGTAGTGGCGCGACCCGTCCATGTGTCTCAGCAAAACGCTGTGCGCTTCCTGGCTTTCGCGTCCTCCTTCCTGCCCACCTTGCTGCGCGCCGCCTCCTATTGCGGTTTCGTCCGTCGGCTTTATTAACTCGCTTAGTTAGCTCCCCTCCGTTGCCCTGCTTCTTTTGAGCCGCTTCAAAAGCCGTCAGTTATTTAGCCTCCCCGCTCTGCGCTCCTCCTTCTGTCTCCCCGTGCCGCGTGTTGGAGAAGCTTCGAAGCAGGTCTCTGTTTCCTGCTCGAGTTCTTACTCTTATTCCGCTCCAATCCGAAATTGTTTTGAACACATTACTCCCCGCCACCCTCCCTCTCCGCCAACCTCCTCCCCCCCCCCCCCCCCCCCCACCCGTTCCCTCCCTCTGCGTTCTACTCCGTCCGTCTCTCCATATCGCCAGTCCGAGAAGCTTCTGAGCAAGCTCGGTGGGATGTTCTCGTTCGGATGGAAGCCGAAGAAGGGTCACAAGATCACGGGACCCAAGACTTCAGGTACGGCGATTAAAGACCTAATTTTCATGCATGACTGAAATATGTATGTGTATCATATTTCCGAGTGTAGAAATGCTCCACTTTTTCGTAGAATATGAGCTTGACCAAGATTAAGGAGCTGTGGCTTGGTTCGACATGTATGGAGAAGAGCAGGTAAGGGTTTGATAGTCGGATGGAGGCGATTAAACTCGTTGTAGGTCTTAACAGTATCGCCATTAACCGGCTCAACACGCAGCTACCGCGTTCGGCACGTGGTTGACACGCAGATACCGCGTATGGCACGTGGTTGACACGCACATAGCGCCTATGGCATGTGGTGGACACGCGGTTGCCGCCTATGGCACGTGGTTGACACGCAATTACTCAAGGAAAGGTAGGAAGGAGCAGCTGTTTTGGTGTGGTGTGGTGTGGTGTGGTGCTGTGCGGCACGCGCAAAGCGTGAAGAGGAAAGAACTTCCTTGTTACAACACCCAGTCTCGTGCATGCACACTCGCGCACACCACGTGTTCACGCTCAGGCACACCCACACCCCTGCCCATCCCCCCTTGTATGAAGAAGTGTTTTGAGTCGTCTCAAAACACTTCGTGTTCTCGCTCAGGCACACCCACACCCCTGCCCATCCCTCCTTTCCGCTGCCCTCTCCCCCCCTCCTCCTTCCCACTCCCCGCCTCTTTTCCCTCCCCGTTTCCTCCCCCCGCGTGCAGCCAACAAGAAGGACTCGGCATCGGGGGACGCGGCGAGCCGCGATGGCTTGGGGTTGTCGGCGCCTAAGGCGGGCGCGGCGCCTCCTAAAGGCACGGAGGGCATGACGGCAATGGAGAAGATCGAGGTGAGAGGGCCATGGTGACTGTACACGAGTGTGACTGAGGAGGGGGGCTTAGGGAGGGCCTGAAGTCTGTGTGTAGATCTAAGGAGGGCATGAAGATTGTAAAGGCACGGAGGGCATGACGGCCTGGGAAAGGATTGAAGTGTGAGATGGCGTGTGGCGGTACGTGAGTGTGACTAAGGAGTAGCGGCAGGCTGGGCCAGCAGGCAGATTATAAAGCCACGGAAGGATTGACAGCAATGGAGTAGATCGAGGTAGGTAGGAGGATTAAGGTGACTGTGCTGGTGGTTATTGATTATAGGATAGGGGTTGTAGCAGCTATTCAGTGACTAAGGCAGGCCCCGCGGCCCCTAAAGGCACGGAGCGCGTGATATTAATGGAGAGGATCGAGGTGGGAGCCAGTGTGATTATAGGGGGGTCTCGTACAATGGTGACTCGCTAGAGAGGGTCATTTTTGGACCCTGGTAGGCATGGCATTGCATGTGGTGGCGTGGTATGGCATTGCATGGCATGGCGTGGCATGGCATTGCATGGCATTGCGTGGCATTGCATGGCATGACGTGGCATTGCATGGCATGGCGTGGCATTGCATGGCATGACGTGGCATTGCATGGCATGACGTGGCATTGCGTGGCGTGGCCTGGCTGGCGTAGGTGGCATATCGTGGCATGGAAAGTGTTGTCTATAATTGACTCAGCAATCACCTCCCCTCTGTCACCCTCCCTCTACTTTCCTCCTCCCGTTTGTACCCTCTTTCCTTCTCGCCCCCCTCGACCCTCCTCCCCTGTTCCCCCTGTCCCTCCCCCCACTCCACCCTCATCCGCTCCTCAGATGGAGCGCAAGTTCCAGGACGAGGTGCTGGGCGATGTGGTCTCATCTCCCCCTCATTCTTCCGCCCCCCTGTGCCACCGCCCTCCAACCCTCCCCCCACGTCTGCAGATGGAGCGCAAGTTCCAGGACGAGGTGTTGGACGATGGGACTGACTGGCTGGATGCAGGTGTTCACTCCACTGTCCCTCACTGTCCCGCCCGCCTGTATACCACCACCCCCGCCCCTCTCCCCCTTACCACAGATGGAGCGCAAGTTCCAGGACGAGGTGCTGGACGATGTGAGTGACGGGCTGGACGCGCTGAAGAACATGGCCATGACCATGGGGTCCGAGATGGACAAGTGAGTGATGAGGTGGACAAGTGAGTGCTGAGGTGGACAAGTGAGTGCTGAGGTGGACAAGTGAGTGCTGAGGTGGACAAGTGAGTGCTGAGGTGGACAAGTGAGTGCTGAGGTGGACAAGTGAGTGCTGAGGTGGACAAGTGAGTGCTGAGGTGGACAAGTGAGTGCTGAGGTGGACAAGTGAGTGCTGAGATGCTTTTGCCTGGAAACTA